ACAAATATAGAGCGAGTTAGTGTTAACCCTGCATTAACAAGCCCCTGGTGGACTAATAGGGGGTGTCCCCTCTTAGCTTAGCTGGAACTTGAAGCACATTGGTGGGTGACGCCCTCGGTTCATAGGGTTCTGCTTGGATCCGGGGTTGAGCCTCATCACCTGGGAATGAACATGTAGCCACAAGGGAACTTTTGGGTTTTGGGTTTGAGAGGAAAAACTCATTACCAGGACAGCAGATGGTGAGGTAACCACGCCAAATATGGGGTAACAATGCTAACAAAAGGGGTAACAACACCGATGATGTGCAGTAATCTCTGATGAAAAAGGGCGTCGATACTCAGAAGGACATCCCATCTGTGTATGTCAGAAGGACATTCCGCTCAAAATGTGAAACTACCCTTGAACATGGGTTTGTTGCCCCAAATTTATGGGGTGGTTCCCCTTTTTGCGGGTAGTTGGAGGTTCCTGGCAGCTTGTTGGGATCCACGCTGCTTTGCGAGGGTGTGACTGCTATATGAGGGGGGGGAGTTGCCTTCACACAGGGGGCCTGCCTTATGAAGCCAGCGCTTTCTTTTTTGACTTTCCTTCGAAACCCCGAAGAAGAAGAAAAAGATCGGAAAACCACTTTGATTTGTTATCCACCGTCTTTTTTTGCGTTTAAGGTTTACGAAGTCCCCCAGTAGTGTCCTTTTGCCCTTTTTTTTGGGGGAGGGTTCCCCTAGTAAAATCGACTACAGCAAAAAAAGGGTACCCTTATTCTAATCCCTCTACTGGAGGACCTGGTTTAGGCACGGAGCGAACGGCAGGGCGCCCTGCAGAGCTGGACGGTGGTGGAGTTGGAGCATTCGGCCTCAGAGCCGAGCCATTTTTGATGTGTCCAGAGAATGGCATACCCCCTACTCCAGATACCCGCTTTTTCTAGGGTATTTTTTGAACAACCTGAAAAACATGGGTATTGGGTGTACGGGGTACCTCCTTTTTCCGTGGTTTGACATCATTTGACCGCATACCCCAACACCTGTTTATTATTTCGGGGTGTGTTGCCCTGCAAAAGGGATGATTCCCCACTAAAACCAGAGACCCCTATCAATAAACTCGGGTTTATTAGGCCGCGGATGCCATCACAGCCAAAAAGCACCCAGCACCCCCAGCCGCTGCTTTTTAGACACTTGGGATTTGGATATGGTTGAGAGGCACGTGTTGGCTTGTGATGGACTTCAATGTCTACTTAATCCGGAGCACCGTGCAAATCGGGGCTGGCTCCCTTCTAGTGAGGAAGCTATATCTATGTTAGGGAGATCCATTGATTAGGGATCCCTGGATAACCCGAGGTTGACACTCGTCACAAGAGAATCCTCACTTCCTGAGTTCATGAGCTTTAAACTTTTTGGGAAGACCGTTTTAGTGGTGAATATAAAGTGTGGTTACTTTTTTGGGCCCATCCACTCAGCAAGTGAGAGAAACTCTCATGTATATTCTAGAGGTGCAGAGTCCTGGTTATCGCAGCTTGCCCTGGAAGGTTCCCTCGTCCAAGTTGCTTTGGATTGGTGGTTTACCATTTACCCAGACCTGAAGATCTGCAGTTGTTTTGGTTTCAGACCGACGCGCACCCGGATTTTTGTTAGACTGCCCTTAGAGGGCAGCTAAGGTTGGAACAGAGCCAAAAACCGGGGGAGTGGGGATCCAAATTGGGTCAGCAGAGCTAGCGAAATGAAGTTCTGGTTGGCATGGCACTTGGATCTTTACCCTTTCGCCGTTGTTAACGGATCTTCAGACTTTTACTTTGGGTCGACTGGGTCTGGCCATTTATTCCCATTCGTTCCCATGTTGAGTAGGCGCTTGGTTCCTTGCTTGGGCCTTGATTCGAAATCAAGTGCCACATCATCTATGATAGGAACTGTGGGGCAGTGGGAAGACAAAGCATTCATATGCTTATGTTACTGATATATACTGATATTAGTCACTCCACCTTTGTTCATTTTTTACATCTCTTCCCCATTTTGGTCATTACTACGCTGTAGAATACAGGGATGGATTGGGGATGGGTAGGTAAAGTGTGCCGCAGTCTTCCCCTGGCCACTGCAGGGTCAAGCTTCCAAAAGCTGAGCTGGTGGACAGGTATTCCCACCCCTTGACTGCTATTGGCTTGGGTTGGATCTTTAGACTTTAACTTTTTGGTTGAAATCAAGTTGGGTTTTCCTAGACCCCCAAAGGACCGATCCCTTTTTTCTGCCTTGGTACTCCTTTTTTTTGGCTCAAAGGCAGAAAACAGATTTCCGGGTCCTTTGGGGGTCCAGGTTTCCATCAAACCCACAAGAAGTTATCCACTTTTTGCAGAGGGGGCCTTGCAGCAATCAAGCTATGGCCCTTTGGAGTCAGCTCAAGCCGTGCTTTGCCGCAAGCGTCAGCAAGCGCCGAGCAGGCACCAAAAGATTTTAAGACGAAGGACACCGTTACCCCTCTCATTTGGAGGCAGTGTCCATACTATTGGTTTATCTTCATTTTTTGGGGGTTGGTACACTGTTGAAAGGGAAACCAAGAGGAAGGCCACCGTTCACGTGTTGGGTCTCCTCCATGTTTGCCATGCGCCGCTTGGCTCAAGTCTGTAGCTCGCAGGAGTTGCGCGAAAAGAAGACTTTCTTCCACGTGCCCGACGCAAACCCCCTTGCGCTTGTTCGTTGCCCAACAGTCACATGCCAAATCTTTGGTGCATGTTGCTTGGATGTTAGGACTTTAACTGTTTGCCAACTAATGGGTTTTCCATTGAACCACTGTTTGCCAACCACTTCTGGGTGCCTCGGGCAAAGCAAAAGCCGACAGGCTTTGAAGACTGTCTTGGGCCTTCATGTCTAGCTCTCAGCTTTTGCGACGGGGCATCCAACTTTCCACGCAACTTCCCTCTGCAGAGTTGCTTACATCCGTTACATCTGCCATGTTTAAGTTTGCAGGGATGGTCATCATCCCCTTCGCAGCGAACTTAGACAAGCATTGTAAGGGTTCCTGTCCCACCAGCGTGTGTCCCAAAACGGCGCAGCTTTGCAACTGGCAGCTTCTCGGTAGCTTTTGCGTTTGAAATAAATTCTTGCTTGAGGATTTCCTTGGCCTTTCAGCACCTGCTTAACATCCTTCAAAACCATTCAACAGCTTCCAACAGCATTTCGCAATGCCAAACCTGTGCAAGCCACCCCCCCCAACCACCACCCACCCCAAATCCACCCCAACCACCCCCCCACCCCCACCCCCACCCGCCCCAAATCCACCCCAAATCCACCCCAAATCCACCCCAAATCCACCCCAAATCCACCCCAAATCCACCCCAAATCCACCGCACTGCCCTCTCGCGCATGGCGTTGCTGCTGCTAAGCCTCAGCAACTTGGAGCCATTTTCGGGTTATCGGGCGATGCGGCCGGACCCCCGACTCAGCATATGGCTGTGGCTAAAAAAACCGGGTAACCCCAAAATGGATCCCTGGTAAGTGGAAACATGGACCAAAACCTGTGGTTTGCCCCAGCTGTTTAATTTTGAGCCACGAATCCATATACCCACTTTTGTTCAGGGCATTTGGTTTGGGGGAAAACCTGGTCTTCCATTTGATACATCCCTTCGTTTTTAGTGAAGGGTTGACATCATACTCATCATGCCCTGAAAAGAGTGGGGAACTTGGAGTAGGGGAACTCTTTGCTGTTCCCAGTGCTTTCCTTCGCGTTTTGCCACTAGCTTTGGGTGAGGTTAAGTGGCGACACGCTCAAGGGAAGCACTGGGATAGGGTCAACGTGTGGGACCATCGAAGGCATCTTTGCCCTTGACTAAAAGGATCAACGGCCCATATATTTATTGCCTAGGTTTGGGATGGAACGTTGACCATGTTTGGACTTCTTTTTTCGGGATGCCAATAGGCCCTTACTGGATGCCAAGCATTTACCCAACTCAGTTGCTTGCTTCGTCTCATGTTTGTGTTCGAGGGAGTGTCCCTCAGAAAATGGCCCCCCTGTTGGCTTCCATGTTAATCGGGGAGAAGACTCTAGGTGAGTTTCCTTGGAAGATGTTTCCAACAGTTGTGCATGGGTTTGTTTGGTTTAAGGTTACAATTAGCTGGTGCCGAGAGGTTGTAATAGTTTGTTTGTTAGTGTTGCAGTTGCGCGAGTGAGCGAGTGGCTGCTGTACGAGTGTGCGAGTACAGCGCACGAGTGTGCGAGTATAGACCGCGCGAGTAGCGCATGCGAGTGGACTGCAAGTGAAACGGGCGAGCGAGCGGACGAGTGGACGAGTCACACGCCCCACGCGCACACTTTTCACTTGAACAGAAACAAGGTCTTTTGTTTACCTGGGCCCCCAAAGGACCCCTTTTTTCTGCCTTTCTACCCCTTTTTTTTGTTGGTCCAGGTAGACCTTATTCTTGCCACCAATGCTACCAGACACAGAGACTCCAGGCAATCCTTTGGATCCCCAGGCCAAACATCGCCAAAGTTGGTTTCGGGTTTTGGCCGCCTTTTGAGTTTGGTTTGGGAAAAGAACAACATGGGCTGTGGCTCAAAAAAAGAATGTACGAGAATGGCACCTTATTGGAACCAAAGACTACCTGCGTAATCCTAGCTCTTGAAATTTTGAGCCACACCAACTGGTGAATTCATCTACCCCAAAATGGGATCCCAGTGGTTTTCACCCTGGGCAAGCCGAAAACGGTCTGAGGTGTGGCGGTTTCGGCCGGAGATCCGCCCAGAGCCCAGGCGATTTGGAGCTCGCCGATAGGCAAGTTCACGTTACAAACTGCGCACGTAACTCACTTGCCTTCAGATTAACTTGGAAAAGTACTGTAGTTGAGCAAGTAACAGTAGTGGGTCACTTTGCCTTGGGTCACTTTGCTTAAGACTATGATATGTAGTTTCCGTTGAGTTTTTGTCCATGGGTATTTATCACTACGTGTTTTTTGGCGGCTTTGATGCGAATCGAGCTTTTGATGTCACCTGTTGGTCTCCCGATTTGTGGTCAACTTTTAGTCATGGCTGGGTGTCCCGTTTAAAAAGTAAAACCTTATGTTTTTTTTCAAACTTGAAATTGTTAAGGGAAAAAGTCATTTGTTGTTGTTGGCATGGTCTTCTGTATATTTTCATGTGTTTGTTTCTTAATTGTTTGCAGGGGGCTGCAAACACCACATATGCTACCACACCAAGGGGTGGAAAGTCATGGGAAACCCACAAGGACACCAACAGAATGGGTGTATTCCTTTCTGGCTATTTGGTTGGATCTTTGGACTGTTTTTGTTTGTTGAAGCTTTTTGGGTTGTCCGAATTGCATTCACAAAAACTAAACCACTTTCTTGCAGATGATTGCTACATAATGGTGATTGCTTATGGGGTGGTTTCCCTTTTCTATGGGAACTCCCTACTCCAAATACCCTCGCTTTTTCAGGGTATCATGTTGTCTACAACAACCAAAAACAAAAACATGCCATGGAAAACAAGTTTTCCCAAAAATACCATGGAGAAGTGGAGAAGGGGGCAGTTTCTTCTGGTCCAGGAAGCCCCTTGCTGCCGTGAACAAGTTTTGCCTTGAGGCCCTGCCCGGAGGATGCGACCATCCACAGCTGCGGCGATTCTCGACAGTTCCAGTCGCCGTTGCGGTCGCTGGCGACCTTCAGGTCGGTGGCACCCCTTGCGGCACATTGAACTTTATACCTGAGCTCTCAAACTACCCGTAAAAAGGAAGCTCGAGGGTTCAGGTATACCTTCTTACCTCTCCCAATTTCATAGCGAGCTCACCGATTCAAGGGATCCCCAATTAAAGCGAGCAAAGGACTTGTATCATGAATTTCGCTCGTTTTAGCCAATCAGCTTTTGGAATAAAAGTCATTTTGCAGGTACCTGGACCCGAACGAACTATCCAGAAACAAAGGGACATCACCATCCATAAATTTGATTGCCAACAACATGAAAGAACCACCTGTTATGGGTAGTTTGAGGACTTGGATATTAATGGTGTGCCTTTTGGTTTCCCTGTACATTAACTACACAACAGGTACCCTCAAAAAAAGACCACCCCACATCCCCTGAACCAATCATAACGAGCGCACCCCTTCCTTTTCCCAGTATTCCCGGTATTTCCTTGTACGTTGTTCAAAGCAGTGAGCTGACATATCCGTGTGTTTTCTCCCGTCCAGCTTCAGGAAAGGTTCCCGAAGCTGAATCCTTTACTTACAGGTGCTTTGGTCACCTGCATAGTAGGTAACCAATGGAACCACCGTTTAGACAAGCACAGCACAACTTTTGTCCCATGGCTGGTTACCGATTTGGGTAACTGGGATCCAACTGGGTTTGTGCATGGGGGTGATTCGGCCAACGCTTTGGGTCAAGGTATGCGGTACTTTGATGTTCATTATTCTTGGCATGTTGTTTGCAGTTGTTTTTTTGTTGTTTCAGCTGTTTTGACCACCTCTTCTTTTTGGAGCTTTCGGGCTGCCCGAAAGAACCGACGTGCCTCTCTCTTTTTCTGGTGGTTGGTACTCCTACGTTTGGGCTTTGGGGTTTGGAAGGCATCGAATCGCGCTTTGGGCCTTAGGAGTGGTGCAAGGCCGTGCACCCCGGCTCGCGCGCCACCATGGGAGGCAGTCCTTGCGCCAGGCCGGTGGAAGCTGTTGGGCCAACTTGGCCCAAGAGATACCTCCTAGGTCCCCCAGTGGTGCCCTTTTACCGCTTTTAAAATACACTGCAGAAAAAAAACGTTGGTACCCTTAGTCTAACCTCTCTACTGGAGGACCTAGCAATCAAAACCCGGTAAGTTGCGAAATCTGCTTCTCGCACCACCGTTCAGAAACCCTGGAATGATTCGCTTGCCCTGTAAATACCGATGCACAACGGTTTCATGCAGGATTTCGTCCATCCACAGTATCTCACCTGAGCCACACACACACCGGGATGAACTTTTTCCAGTTGCCCAGCGGGTTGTTTCCTTTGTTCAACTTTTTTTGGGGAAGGGTTTTTCTTTAGAGTCAACCAAAAAAGGGATGCCCCTTTTTTTCCGATGGCCACTGGGCATCTGAGTTTTGCGTGGCAAACCGCGTGGTTACTTTCGGCCAACCCACTCAATCGGATGGGTTTGTGGTTTTTCATAAAGTTGGTTCACAACATCCAAACTCCAAACCACCAATCCAACCATCAATTGGGGGGAGGCTGAGGTGGGTTTCCATTCGATAATAAGCAAACTACCCGTCCTCTTTTGGCTTTCCTTTGTTTAAAAAAACAAAAAAAACATGGGCAGTTCGCTGTTGTGTGGTACCGGCCCCCTTTACGGGGTTCATCCGCATCGACTGCTTTTAAAGGTGGACCGGACATCGTAGTTTCCATTTCAAATCGGGCAGTGTTTGCAGGTCCAGACGCTTGTTTGGACGTTGCATCCCCGTTTTTCCTTTTGAAAAGGAGGGGGGATGCCCTTTAACGTTGACTGCCAACCAACAGAGGGCCGATTGAATGATCCGTGGAAATTCACTGGGACCCGGTCTGGCATAAAACACGTGCCTTCCTCAAGCGACCCAGAAAAGTTGGAAAGCGCCAACCGCAACTTTGATTGGCGATATCCACTTCCTTTAAGGAACTGCCAGGTTGCTGTAGCGAGCCAGCGCCAAACCGACACAAAACGAGCATTTGGGTACTTTTGGTTGAGCCACTGGCAGCTAAGACACTCGGGCCCGAACCTCTGCTTGTTGGACAGTTTTGGACATAACGCGGAGCCGTTGGGGAGTGCTGGCAACTTTTTTGCTTGCCAGGCTGTCGAGTCAGGAGCGGGAGATCCGCGCACCAGACATGGTTTTGTCTCAAGTGGTTGAACCTACCGGGTTTCGGGCCCAACACATGGCAGTCCTTTTCTCCCTCTAAAGCCGCCGAACAAGAGCGTACCTCAAACAATGACACACCAATATGCGCGATGAAGATGATCGAAGTACCATTGTTGCCATGTCTCGGCATGCATCTTGTTCCATGTGTGCACAGGGCACCTCTTGCGAAAACACCCGCATGTGCCTCGAATTGTGAATTGGGCGCAGTGCTGGCAAACAGTACACGTTTGGAGAAAGCTTAAATCCATCCTGGCTTTTCTCAAAAAGGCCAATCATTGCGATTTCACGTTCATTGCGCGAAATGTCACGGTCATCAGGCGAAGTTTCACGGCCACGGAGTGAAGTTTCACGGTCAATGAGTTTGACCAATTTCCGAAATTGAAACTAACAGCTCCGGCGAAGGAACGGCAAGCAAACCACTCAGTCCGACAAGCGTAGGGCGATTTTTTACTACAAAAAAGTCAGTAGAACAGCTTTAACCCTCCGAGGCAGCAAGGATGTTCGCCGGAGCCGCACATGTGCCAAACATATCCGTGTACGAGTCTAGGTCCTTGAGTAGTGCCCTTTTACCCTTTTGTGGGGGAGGGTTCCCCTACTAAAATAGACTGCAGCAGTACCCTTATGCTAACCTTTGTACTGGAGGACCTAGGTGTAAGAGTGACACATTGCAAAGCCTCATGTTATGGCCTGGCAGAAACAAAATCGACCTCGTACACAAGCGGCTGCTCCTCACACCCTCGCACCCATCGATCGCGTATATCAAAGACAACGGAGCCTTTGGGGTACCCCCTACTCCAAGTACCCAACAAGTACCCAAGCTTTTTTCAGGGTAATGATGTCGGCCCTCTACCAAAAAGCAGGTATTCACCATGGAAACCCAGGTTTTCCCAAAAATACTGGTATTTGAGTAGGGGATATATATTTTTTGTAGTTTGCAGGGGTTTGTTTTCCTTTTGCAGGACCTGCAGAGAGGCATGGGCCCAGCTTGCACTTGCGGCTCGAATGAATTTGCGCGGGGGGGCGGGGACCAGAAGTGGTGGGTTTCTTTGGGGCTCTCAGTAAAACAGAACCAGATTTCAGAGAGACAGACAGTATGTGCAAAGTACCTGAACCTTCAGGCCACCCATAAAACAGGGAAATCACCCCATAGATTTGGGGCAGTCATTTTTTTAATGGGTAGTTTGAGGCTTCACGTACCCCCTACTCCGAGTACCCTCGTTTTTTTCGGGGTATTATGTCGAACTTCCACTCAAAAAGGAATCGGTATTTACCATGGACAGCCGCTCGGTTTTCAACCAAAAATGCCAACTGAAATCAGCGGCTGGGTATTTGGAGAAGGGGGTATTTGGTTGCCTCTTCTGCTAGCACCCGTGGGTGTCCGAGGGCATGTGCTGAACCTTTACGGGTAGTTTGAGGCTTCGCGTGTGTTAAGCCTGTGTTATACGGGGCTTGCTTATTTTCAAGGCTCCCCGGGTCCCCAGGCATGGCCAGGCGCGGCCAGGCTGCGGAAGCTGGTTGCATGTAAGGAGTCGTTTCTGTGTTTCTCCACATTTTCCCTCAATTATTCAGCTGGCCCGAGATTCGAATCAGGCCAGGGGGGGGGGGGTCCTGGAAAGGGTTACCCGAAGACAAAGGCATTTTTTGCGCAAGCGGGTTCCCCTGTAACCTCCCTCTACCCGGCCTTTTTTCAGGGTATCATGTCGACCCTCTACTAAAAAAGGAGGTATTTCCCATGGAAAACCGATCGGTTTCCCCAAAAATACCAACTGAACAAAGCGTTGGTATTTTGCGCAAGAGGGTTGTCAAACATTGTCCTTTGACCACTCCCGACTTCGGGCAGTTGGCATTCCTCTTCTCGCTCTCTGAGTGCCTGGGCTTCCAAGTCACTTGTCGGATGTGGACATTTTTGCAAACACCTGCCAGGGCGTCCCTTCATAGTCAACAGAGGGTGCTGACTCCTGTTTCCCCACCGCTGGGTGTTCCTGTGGCAAATGCACCATGACGAAGGTGCTTTATCCCAGTTGCCCAAAGCGAATCGACCTTTTGACCTGTTGTTTTCCCCCATTTTGGCAACCATGTATTGGTCCAAAAAGCAAAAAGGACATCCGTTTCATCATTTCGGCCGCCACGTGTTGGTCCAAAAAGGAAACAAGGACACCTGTTTCACCATGTTGGCCACCATTTTTGGTCAGAGTGTCCGAAAAGGTCAACTTATATTTCGCTGAAAGCCAACCTTTTGACCTGTTGGTTGCTCAATTTTGGCGTCGTTAGTCACGAGGTCCCAACCTGGGACGTTTTTCCGCCTGGGAACAAATCGTATGTACTAATATTTTGGGGTTGTCTAAAAAACAATCTTGATCTGGAATTTGGACCCTGATTTGGAGCACTTACATTTGATGAAATAGGGTCCATTTATGAGAAGGGGGAAATGGTCCGCCCTAAGGCTCCAATTCGATGGTTTTTGGGCCCTCAAAATGGGTTGTTTTCTTTCCGGGCCCCTGCGGAATTGGTCTGGGCTCTTCATTGGAGGGCCCCTTTGGGCCCATGCATTTGGAGGCTCCGGTCATAAGCCTCAGGGCGGCTGATTTCCATCTCGTCCAGGGTGACCCGCACGGCGCCGAAGGGGGGGGCTTCGGAGCTCAGGTTACGACAGCAGCTACGAGCGGGAGCTTCAGAGCTGCAGGTCGCCGCCGGACGCGGAAATAAACGAAGAGTTTGGGGGAGCAGTGGGCCCTCATCTTTTTCCTAGACGTCAACAGCACACCAGTAAACTGCATCTCCAGTGACTCATGCAACGTGGAGCTCAAACAATGTAGAGGAATCTTGTTTTGGGAAATGGACGCTTTTTCCGGGTCCCATGGGTGTGCGGTGTTTGCGGTGACAGGGAAGCGTCAAAGTCCACCAGTTTTGGAGCCCACGCCCAATCAGCCTGACATCCATGGAAGCTCGAACATGGCAATGCATCGGTTTCAGCGCTTTCCGTTCAAACCATATACCGATCCCTTTGTTGGTAAAAATATGTATACCGCATATCCTATGCCCTGAAAATAAGTAGGTAGGAGGGGGGACAAGGAAAACCAGCGGGATACTTTGGGAGGCATGGGAAAGCAAAGAATCTCATGGGCAACCCGTGACCGGTCTCCCGCTTGGAGACTTGGAACTTACGTTTGCAAATCCTCTCCTGTTGTTGATACTAAAATGGGTGGTGAATTCACCTACCCTAAAATGGATTTGACCCACAGCCATATGTGTTGTGTGGTTTGTTGTCTGGTGCGCAGAGAACAAACGTGCTTTTTGTTGCAAATCCTCTGAAGCTAATCATGGGAAGTCATGTATTGGCAATCTCCCTTTTGTAGAGGGCACCTGGACCCACAAACTACCCTGCAAAATTGTAAATTCCTTTCATGTGCTCATCTTGTTTCCTACCTTTCTCTGGGTTTTTGGGACGTTTCCCCTGTTTTTGTTTGTTGTCGAACGGAACCTACCGGGCCACGTCTTCTCCTTTTCGCCCCACCCGGAAAAAAAAAACCGGCCCCCGCCCGCGGAGTCGTCGAATCGTCTCCTCGGCGGCCCGGCGACTTGTCGCAGGTCCCAGTGCCCGGAGGCGGCGGAGGCCATGCAGCCCTTCACAGGACCGACGCCGTCTCAGTCGCTATGTGGATGGGTGCGACATCCTGAAAAGCCCATCGGTTTTTTACCCAGAAAAAATAGGCCTCCCCAGAATTGTTGCTGTTTTTTTTTTTGGGGGGGGGGTTCCCGTTTGTTTTCCACGAACCAGGCAAAACAAGATACTTTGCCGAGGGATGTTTGGACTTTTTGCCTTCTTGCCAACTAGTGGGATGTCCGTATTAAAACCACTAAAAGTTCAACTTTTTGCAGAGCAACCTAGTATTTTCTTTGGGTCTTCATAGGGTCTCACTTCCTGAGTTCATGCACTTTAAGCTTCTTAATGGGGTTGGACCGTGGTGAAGGTAAAGTTTGGACTTTGCTGGGGCCACTCAGCAAGTGAGGCAGTGTGGACAATGAGCTTCAAAGGGTAGAGGCCTCTAGCCACAAGCTCGTAAATGTAGATCCATGCCATGACATTGCCAAGGCAGAATCAAAACGATAGTGCAAGGATGCCTGGAAAACCGATTGGTTTGCCACAAAACATACCCGAAAAAAGGAAAAAAAAGAAAAAGGAAAAACAAAAGGTAATTGGAGTGGCGGGAGCCTGGCACAATTTCATGGGGCAAGTGGCCCCTTGAAGCCTTGGGCTGAGTGACACGTGGCGCCCACAAAGCTGTCCAGACGAGTTCTCACACAAAACGCGGTTTCTTGGTATTTGCCAAGTCGGGAAATCGTTTCAGACACCAGGGTTTCTGAACGGTGGTGCGAAATGAGTTTCGTCCATGCACCAGTAGGTCTTTGGTAAAGTTGATGGGTGTCCTCGGTAGATGATGCCATAAAACAAATTTCAATACCAGTGGGTTCTCAGGAAACTAAACGATCAAAAGGGCACCTATTATTTCGGGTTGAAGCCAACAGAAATCCGGACGGAAAAGGGGATTGGGCGCTGAGTCAACTTGGTTGTTTCGTGCCATTTTGGAAGTGTGTCGACTTGAGTTGCTTTGGTGGAGGTTTCAGCTTGCTCTTTTTTTCCTGACCTTCCGGATTTGCTCAACTAGGTCCCGCAGTAGTGCCCTGGGGAGGGTTCCCCGACTAAAATAGACTACAGAAAAAAGTTGGTACCCTTATTCCAACCTCTACTGGAGGACCTAGTCAATTTTGCCTTTGTGGGGTTCGTACGAATTTTAACCAAGCCCAAAGCAGATGTCAACCTCCTAAAATGTCCCTTTAGCTTTCCCTTTTGAGCCATTGGCGCGCTTTGTCCCGTCTTACTTGTTGAGGGGCCTCTTCAAATAAGGTCGACTGCCAACATAAGAGTGCCTAGACAGCCAAGTTGCTGTTTCGCTTTTTTCAGTCACTGTTGCGATCGGCTTTTGGGGCAAAGTTCATGGAAAAAAGCAAAAAAGCCACTGGCGATCCAGGTGCCACATTTTGCCATGTGGGGGGTCTAAGCCTAAGTGATCTCAACCTTTTCGTCAAGCTTGGCCAAAGGTTCAGAGGCCCCAAACCCTGCCCAATTCACCAACATGGGACCTGACTTGCGGGCGGTCCGGGAAGAAAGAAATTTTCAACCGGCCCTTTTGGTTTCCATCCTAAGCTTCGGTTGGGATGCCAAACCCAAAACGCTTCCCCAGAATTAGCTCCCCTTTTTTGGTTGTTTTTTTGTTGGGTTCCTTTGTTTCCACTAACCAGGCAAAAACAAAACTGTTTGTTGTTGTTGTTTTTTTGGGGGGGTCTTTGTTTTTGCTTTTTGGGGGGGTATTGTTTGTTTTTCACCAACCAACATGTTTTTTGCCGGGTCCGAATTCCAGCCTAAAGACAGGAGAGGAGGAGCTTTGCTTCGGCAGCGTGGGCCTCTTGGCAAGATGTTTTTTGCTGGCGACTCTGCTCCCGTAACCTATCACACACTCCCTGAGTTCATGGGCTTTATACTTTTTGGGGTTGGACCATTTTGGTGGTAAACAAAAAGTTTGGACTTTTTTTGGCCAATCAACTCAGGAAGCGAGATTAAATACCTGGAGTTTTCTTCTGACCCTTAAAAACTGGTTGGTTATTCCCCAAAATAGTGGTTGGTCACTGACCCGTTTTTAAAGGGTCATGGAGACTCCAGGTACCACCGCCTTTTTTCAGGTGGCATTTTTGGGTGAAAACCGATCGGTGTTCCAAGGTAAATACCGATCCCTTTTTTAGTAGAGGGTCGACATCAAGCATACCCTTGAAAAAAAGTGGGTATTGGGTATAGGGGGTCGTTTTCCTTTCACGTGGGAAACCGCGGGTGCTACAACCTAAAAAGTAAAATGCCATTGCCGACGTTGGTATTTACATGCCCCAGAGGCTCCAATTCGATTGATTTAGGGCCTCACAAGCTGGTTTTGAGACCGGGTCCCAACCACCAATTTCCGGGGTGTCTAATGCTTCGGGGTCGGGTCTTCCACAAGCCAAAGCCGATCGGAGGATCTCATCTTTTTAGGGTTTCTTAGCTGGTGCGAAATAGATTTCGCAACCATCGGTATTTCAATCAACCGCCCACGGCAGGGGAAGGGTGTGCAAAATTAATAGCCAGGGTATTGGCCCTGGGGGAGATATTCTAAGCCTCAGTCCCCCCCCCAGGATAGGGACACCCAAAAGGGTTCACGTGTCAAACAATCAACGCTTTTTATCTCACTGTTGGCATGGGTTTAGGTTTTGAGGTTGCTTGCCTTGGTTCTTTTTCTAGATGTTCAACCAATCAATGATGTAAACATGTGTAGATCCGGGCTTCTTGTAAACATGTGTAGATCAATATAAGCCTTTGGAATGCCCTTTTTCTTGGACAAAAGAGTCATAAGCCGTGGCCGTTTTCCTTCTACAGCTCCCCCCATTTGCGGGTTGTCCAAAAAATGGGATGCCTTTTAGACCATGTTGGACTCTTTTGTGGCTGCATAACTTAGTTATGTTTGTGTTTGACTTGGTCAAAGAAACAAGTCAACCACTAATTAGCAATTCAGCTCAGCAATCGTGAGAACGATATTGTCGGGTATACAGGGACTAGAATGGGTGATTCTGGCGGTTGGGGTGGGGGCTTAAACTGCGAATAAGGGAGTCCCTGTTAAAAACCGACATGTTCTTGAGACCCCAACAATTGAATTTGGGGGAGGAGGGTGACCTCTGTAATTCCATTTACGGCTCCGTTTTCCATTTATGGGGCTAAATGGAATTGGGGGACCTTCCCCCTCCCCTCTTCCCCTTGCAGCAGGCAGTATTTCTCGGAAGCCTTGGCTCTGAAAGACCTTCGATGCAGACGACCAGCTTTGCCCAGTTTCGCCATGCTGAATGTGTACTTGCCAAGTGGCAAGGGCTGTTGCGTTGCAGTGTCGCCGGAGCTCAGCGTGGGCGATCTTCGGGTCAAGGCGCAACGGCAGCTGAAGTGTGGCTTTCTCAGCTTGTCTTTCGGAGGGCAGCTGCTGGATCCATCGTCTACCTGCAGTGAGCTGGGCGTGGGAGATGGGGACACCATAGATGCGTTCGTGCTGCCCGTCAAGCTTCCCAGACGCCCAGTGCCAGTTTTTTTTGCTTTTTGTTTTTTTGTTTCTGGTACTTTCTGGAGGCGGTTTCCCTGACTTTCAAGAAAGGGCTTAAAAAGGGAGCTCTTGTTGCCGGGTTACTTCTCATGACCTGATTGCTTCTGGGCAATGGATCTTTACTTTGACTTTTTGGTTGAAATAAAATTGGGTTGTCCATTAAAGCCCCAAAAAGTTATTCACTTTTTGCAGAGGGGTCAACCGCAACCAAGCCTTTGTGGAGGGCGGTTTCCCAGCCATTCCAAAGGGCCCAGAAGGGAGCTCCTGTTGCAGCCCAGTTGCCCTGGCGCCCTTTTTCCTTTTTTGTTGGGGAAGGGTTTCCCTTTAAGCGCTACCAACAAAAAAACAGGTGTCCTTTTTTTCCCCATGGCCACTGGGCATCTGTTGCAGGGTTCCCTTCGCAGGACCTTTTTGCCATCTTGATTAGTGGGTTTCCCATTGGTGACACGATGTAGTGATGTTCCAAAGGGTGCCCTGATCCCATAGATCTCCGCCGCGCGAGGCTCGCTTCCACTCAGAAGGCGTTTGCTCTTCACTCCGTGGGAGGGGCAGCTGTTACATGGGGAGTACCTAAAGGTAACACCAGAGAGGCGCAGGAGTTGGAGTTGCTGCGAGTCCAGCAGATCCAGGCAACTGGCCTTGCTTTTGCCGCCATCCTGGACGACGGCTCTGTGGTGACTTGGGGCGATCCGGAGCGAGGCGGTGACAGCAGCTGGGTGCGAGCACAGTTGGTGCGCGTTCGCCAGATCCAAGCAAACGAGGCCGCTTTTGCTGCCATCTTGGAGAATGGCTCTGTGGTGGCTTGGGGCAATCCTGAATGGGGCGGTGACAGCAGCCGTGTGCGAGAGCAGTTGGTGCACGTCCAGCAGATCCAAGCAACTGATTGTGCTTTTGCTGCCATCCTTGACGGCGGCTCTGTGGTCACTTGGGGCGATCCTGGCTTTGGTGGTGACAACCGCGAGGTGCGCGGGCGTCTAGTTCGGGTCCAGAGAGTCCAAGCAACGGGCAGTGCTTTTGCAGCCATTTTGGACGATGGCTCTGTTGTAACTTGGGGCGATCCTCTCTACGGCGGCGACAGCAGCCAGGTGAGAGAGCAGTTGGTGAGTGTCCGGCGGATCCAGTCAACCGGGGGGGCTTTTGCAGCCATCCGCAAAAACGGGACAGTCGTCACATGGGGTGATGCCGAGTTTGGTGGTGACAGCAGCCAGGTGCGAGAGCAGTTGGTGCAGGTCAGGCAGATCCAGGCAAGTGGGAAGAATTTCTTTGGTGGTGCTTTCGCCGCAATCAGGAAAGATGGCTCTGTTGTGAGTTGGGGCAGTCCGTACTGTGGCGGAGACAGCAGCCAGGTGAGAGAGCAGCTGGTTCGCGTCCAGCAGATCCAAGCAACTGATGATGCTTTTGCTGCCATTTTGGACGACGGCTCCGTGGTGACGTGGGGCGGTCCTGATTTGGGCGGCGACAGCGGCCAGGTGCAAGAGCAGCTGGTGAGCGTTAAGCAGATACAGGCGAGCGGCGGTGCTTTTGCTGCCATCCTGGAGAATGGCTCTGTGGTGACTTGGGGCAATGCGAGTTGGGGCGGTGACGCAGGTGCAAGAGCAGCTGGTGCAGGTCCAGCAGATCCATGCAACTGCCTTTGCCTTTGCTGCCATTCTGGCCAATGGCTCTATGGTGAGTTGGGGCGATCCCGAGTCTGGCGGTGACAGCAGCCAGATTTGAACTGAGCTTTGACCATGGCTCATATGAGTCACAATCAAAACCTGGTACAAGCATGGTAAACCCTACGCAAAGAATTAGAAAGACGGCCGCAACTATTTCCGGCAGGGACTGCCCCTTAATTACGAACCTTCATCTACCCGGGTGTTGATTGTGGCTCGTATGGCTTGGCGCTGGAAAAATCTCTGGCCTCAGTTGTTCAGTGGCTCCCTTTTCCCTCTTTTTTTGGTGGCTGCCCCACTTAAATGGTCTTCCCAAAAAAGGGTTCCCTTTTTTTCCATGGTCACTGAACAACTCACTGAGTGGCGCGTTTGCAGAACGGCCACTCGCCCAGCAACCAGTGGGTCAGTCCAGCCTGGGATCTAGGCATGATTGAACTTCACTCTGCACGCGCCTTTTTCAGGGCATGATGCCAACCCTTTCCTACAAAGCAGACACCTATCCTGGAAAGCCAAAGCATACCCGACTGGGTATTTGGAGAAGGGGGCCGTTGCTGGTGTTCCAATCTCCCCCCAACGACTTGGGGGAGACTTGGTTAAAAAGAAACACACCGAGTCCCCACTAAAGTGTTCATTGCCCCCTCCAAGTACTTGGGGGGACTTGGTTAAAAAAGCACCCCGTGTTTTCAGGTGAAGTTTGCATTGCCACTGTTCACCCACTTTCAGCAGGAAAAAACCACCCACTGTTCAGCAGCCTGCTTCGGGGCCCGCGGCCCATCCGCCTGGCCCATCCGAGGCCAAGACACCTGCAGGGCGGACCAGCTCACCTCTAAGCCGCGGGCCCAGAAGCCAAGAGTCAAAAGTCGCTTCGAAGGTCACCCTAGGCCTCAGCTCCACCGTTCTTGGCAGGTGTTTCTCGGTTTTTCAGTTTTTCGGGTTTTTGGTTTGTTGGTTCTGTTCATTTTTACTGGGGGGGGTCTGCAAAAAACATTAGGTTTTTTGTGCTACCATACCCAGAGTAGAGATGCTCAGAACATTTGGCCAAGTTGACATCACTTGGGCTTAGACCTGCCACATGGGCAAAATGTGGCACTCTTATGTTGGCACCCGGGGTCTTCCTTTGACCCCCTAAAAAATGATTGGTCATTACACAACATTATGGGGTCAGTGACCCATTTTTTTAAGGGTCATGGAGACTCCAGGCAGGCTACAACCCACTTACAAGTCCCACAACCCGTTCAGTGGGGTCAACCTTGTACCAACAACTTACTTGGAGTCTCCTGACCCGAATCAAAATGGGTCCCATGGACCCCAACAAATTTTGGATTTTTTGAGGGTCAGAAGTCTAGAGATCCCAAGGCCTCTATTTTCCAGGCACTTTTGCCAGGTCCTGGGCTACTAGTCAGGTTCCGGTGGTTGGCACAAAGTAGCTACCTGGAGTCTCCATGACCCTTTAAAAATAGGTCAATGCAATGACCCCATTATTTTGTAGAATGACCCCATTTTTTTCAGGGGCATGGAGACTCCAGGTACGAGTACTTGAGGTTTCAGGTGCCCGGTCAAAAGGGGTGACTGCACCAAACTGATGGGGTGCTTCACCCTCCCTCCCACTAACATACAAGAGGCAAATGATCTTCCAGGCACCCTCACACTGGTGCTATGTCAGTGGAAAGGAGGATACCCCATGTCTAGGAGTCTGCGGGTCCAGCTGGAACCTCTTGGTGTATGGCCCCCTTTTGTCAGGGTAGTTTCAGGGTCAAGCGGCGCCTTGTTGGAGGCCTGCGAAGGATCCAAAGGCAAAGCAACTGGAAACAAGGAAACCTGAGGCTAATCCTTGAGGTCTGCGCAAGCTAGAAAGGATTGTTTAAGCAACAACTTCGAAGAAACAAGCATCCAACCCTGGTCCCCGCAAATCCCGTTGAGGACTTGTTGGTTTCGTGATGGTTCATGGGTGTTCTCATGCAACTGAGTCATTTGCTCATTTGAAAGAAGCCTAGTCATGGGCTGATGCCTCGACTGCATGTTGCTCTAACGCGCATGTTACGCATGTTAGAGCAAAGGCAAATTGATATCGCGGTGTCACCCACAGCGAATTAATTATCAAATCACATGTACCTTCCACCTGCTTAAGAATATTTATTATTTTCCCCTTTTGGTTTTAAAGGGAATCTATCATTACTGGACATAGTATGATTTTCTCCATGGGACTTAAGCAAATGGAAGTTTATTTTCTGGCCCGGTAGTTGTCAGTGTGATTCTGCCATCGCAAAGCTCAGCATTCCCGGATCTGCTTCAAAGGAAGACGCAAGACGAATACTCCCCGCAGGCTTGCCCGGATCCATGCAACACCATTCCTTGGAGTGGTTTTGGTGGGACAAGGAAATGTTTGGTTTATGGTAAACCCCATGGTAAAGCCACTCCCAGTGGATCAAAACCCTTAAGCCCCAACCCCAGTGGATCCCAGTTTCCCTTATAGGTAACCACCTACTTTGCTTATGTGTTTGTTTTTTTTGGCCCATAGTTGGGGTTGGCCTTGGTTTGTGGTTTAGATTGCTGGTTTGGGGGTTGGAACCCCAGCATCACAACCCAAATGGGGAAGGTAGGGAAGCTGAATGCTTACCTACCTGTACCAAGTAAATGGACCCACGGCATGGCGCAAGCCAAACCGCGGTGACTTGAGAAGCTTCCAGATCCGGCGAGGTCTGAGAGGTTCTTGCTCTACGACGCCCGGTGGCCAGGAGGGTATGTCCAAAAAAACAAACGGGCGCGCCTGCTGAAGAGGGAAAGGCGAGTTGTCCAGTGGTACCATCCGTTGGCCAACAAACGGCTCCCTTCTTCTTCCTAGACGCTGCCGATGGATTTTGGGCGACCCCAAACCCCTCTGGGGTGTCCAACGGAGGGTCTGGGTCTTTTGTTGGAAGCCGAAGCCAGGAGCGTTTGGGTAAAACCAAAAACAAGAACGGAACAACATAATTGTTGTTGGAGGTTTCGTCCCCCCACCCCCCCCCCCCCCCCCGAAAAACGGTTCTTTGTAGTTGGAGGTTTCGTCCCCCCCCCCCCCCCTGAAAAACGGTTCCCTTCCACCCAGCTTTGGGGCTGTCGGGACGTGGGGCCTGCCGCGAGCGAGGTGAAGCCCGGGGAAGGCTTCAACTTGCAGCGGGAGGTCTTTCCGCGCGTGGCCTGGGTGGCGCGAGCCTCGATGGGATCTGCTAGGTCCAGCGCTCGGTGCCCCTTCTTCCCGTTTCTTTTTTGGTTGGGCTAATATAGACTACAGCAAAAAGTTGGTACCCTTATTCTAAGCTTTGTACTGGAGGACCTAGTCTGTGGAGCCGACCTCTGTGGCGATGGAGCTTTGTCAACTTGCAGGGCTCCAGTCCTATATTTCTATCCGTGTTCAGGTGGTTTTCAACATGTTTTTTCTTTTTTTGAGGAGTGCCTTAGGTATATAACTATCCCTTTTTAGGTGGTGATAACTTCCTACATACGACATCTTGTCCTTGAAAGCCTTTTCAAAATGTGGTACCTGCAAGAAACAGACAAGGCCTGCTGTTTGAGGCGAAGGGTACCCGCTTTGAGGTCATCCCAAAGGGAAGCCAAAGGAAAACAGGGAGGCCTGTGGATGGACAAAATCCACCTAAGAAACCCTGGTTTCGGATGCTCCCCCCTGTAAAAACAGGTTTCAACCCGTGATTTTCAAGTCGTGCGAGGAGCGGAGTCGTCCATCCACCATATTTCGACACGAATGCCGTCATGGAGTTCTGTGGGTTGTATCTACGTTCCTGAAGATATTACCGCGAGCTTTTTTTTGAAGTGGTCGAGTGGCTGGATGTTTTTTGTGGTTGCTGTTTGCCATTGTGGTTTTCCTTTGGGCGTGTTTTTTTTTTGGCCGGTGTTGGTGATTTTAAAGGAGAACCAAAAGTAAAACCATTGTATTTGGGGTCTGAACAAATCACCGCAGTATTCAGAAGATTCGAATTATTTGACAAGGGTTGTATTCCCAATGCAAACCACCAACTACCCCCTACTCCAAATACCCACGTTTTTCAGGGTATTTTTGGTAAATACCTCCTTTTTTAGTAGAGGGTCGACATCATACCCTGAAAAAAGTGGGTATTGGGTGTCGGGGGTAGGTTCATTCCAAATACGTACCGTCCTCGGTTGGAAAGGGCTTGTCTCCGAATTGAACACCCCTAGATCCCCAAGTTGCTACTTGCTTCCAGCCACTTTACCCAATAGTAGCCCATAATTTGGCCAAAGTAGCTGGAAAATAGTTTGGCAAGCGGGGATCCGCGCAGCCACCAAATGCCTTTGACCCTTCAAACGTTAGACACTCCCTGATGCCTTTGCTCGTGTGATATACCACAAATATGTCTCGCTTGTTGCTCCCTACATGAACGAATATGTGTGTGCCAAGTAAATTATTATATATATATACTGCGTATACCTTTGCTGGTTGCTGTGTTCATTCAGGCGTTTATTGTATCATGTACTGTTTGACGATTTGTGTATTCACTGTTTCATTTGCCTAGCTGTTCACTTGTTTTCTACAATAGATATATGTAGATATATATATATATATCAATTTGTATATGTACATACATGTACACCTGTGTGGTTTACTGATTAAATGCATTTCCTTTTTCTTTCTCCTGTGTGGTTTCTTTGTCTTTCGTGCGTTTCCCGTTCTTTGGCTCAGGTCGCACAAGTCAACACCGCCCTGCAGAAGCTCTGCGCCGGTTCCGGCGGCGCTTCCTCCACTTCCTCCGGCTGCGGCAGGTGGTCCTTGGTGCTGCCGCCCTGGTGCAGGCCTTCGGGTGCCGATTCGTTCTGAGGGTTGGCTCCTGGAATGCCACAATAGGTCATGTTTTTCACTTCTGGGGCTTATCAAAGTCAGAAAATGGAATCGGTTGCTTCCTTCATGGTTGTCGTTGGGAAACATTTTACATTTTTGCTTATTGTGGTTTAGTGGGAAATCCACACTTAGCTGCTAAAATTTATTTTTTTGCTCCCCTTTCAACGTCAACCAAGCCCTTAACCCACCACCGAAGGGGGGTAGCTTTGATCATGGTAACATAGTGAGGCGAGTACCTAGGGAACTTGTCTCACGTGGCTATGAACTTGAAATGGGTATCCAGGTATTCCTCTCAAACATGGCTGATGTGCACGAATCCCAAGCTTCTAAGGGTTGGTTCCTTTTCCATTCTTTCCAAGCATCCTTCTTTTCGAACACCGGATCCGTTTCCCGATCGGGTTTCCGGAGGTTTAGAAAGATTCGGATCCCTGGAAAGAATGGGAAATGGAAGGTACGAATGATGATTCCCCTGTAAAAAGCCAATGCACAATGGTTTCAACCATGGTTTCCAGGTGGTGTGATTTCTGAATTGCGTCCATCCACAGCACAAGAAAACAGGGCCATTCGGGACGACAGGGGTGGTCGGCCACGAGACCTGGGCTGAACTCCGAGAATCCCCGAGAAGTTCTTCTCAAGCGGGGGGTTGGTTGCCCGGAAGACTGGGCTGAAGCCCTAAGACCCGCTTTTCTTAGGCTCAGCTGCCCAAAGCGAATCGACCTTTTAACTTTAACCTTTTGGTTTTCCAGTTTTGGGTTCCCATTTTTAGTCATGGCCCCAAAAGGTGATCACCTTGTATTTCTGGGTCCGAACTGGGCAAGTGAGTAGGGTATGATGTCGACTCTCAACTAAAACTGGAGGCAGAAAGCCCTAAAGCGAAACTGGTTTTCTAGAACAAGCTGAAAGAGGCGGGTTTTTTCCAAGAAAGTGCCCTGAAAGAAGCGAGTCTTTGGAGTTCGGGGTGCCCAAAGGATCGGGTCAGCTTCGATTCAAAGAGGTTGGCGCACTGGCGGTCCTCCAGCGAGGACGGGACTCGGGAAGGATGGATGGGGCCGGTTGCTACCTACGCTATTTAGAGGGTCTCCTCCAAAACTGGTTTAGATGTCAGGGTAAATAAAATATGGAACATGCTGCAATCAGACAACCTGAACCCTCAAACTGCCTCATGTGTGTTTGTTGGTTTTTGTTGGGTCGGCTTTGCCATGACATTCCAGCTACCCACTGAAATGGGGCACGCTCCGAAGCAAATCTTTTGAAGGCACCACCCTCGAAATACACTTCAAAGAGGGAAGTCACTCCATAAGTTTGGGGGCAATATACAGTTGCTTATTAGACGGGTAGTTTGAGGGTCCAGGCACCATTTTGAGGTAGGCTTAAGGGAGCCCAAAAGGAGAACAGCCATGTTTGGGGAGTTGCCCAAACACCTGTCATTGGAAGGCAAAAGGTTCAACACGAACCACGATTTGTGGGTCCGATTATTTTTCTAAAGTGGCTGAGGTTCCCCAACTTCGGGCCCGACTTTGGATCTCCAGGAGCACGTGCCCTGGGCCCGGTTCTTCGATGCGGAGAAGCTGAAAAGCGGAAACGTCACAGTGCTGGACGGGGAAAAATCCACGCGGAAGTCGTTTGTTTCTTAAGGCTCAGGACGTGACGCGCCAAATAGTGATGCTCAGAGACTGATGGTTTAGGTCCCTTTTTTATGAACCCAAGAGAATCCATTTTGGACCCAACTGACTTCCCATATATTCAGCCATAGCTAACAGTGACTTCATCCATAAACTAGGAGTTCATACCAGGATTTCCTTCTTTGGGCATATGAATTCAGCCTTACCCCGTACTCAAACTACCAACGCTTTGTTCAGTTTGTATTTTTAGGAAAATCGATCGGTTTTTCATGGTAGATGCCAAACCTTTGTTCGAAGAGCGTCGACATGAGACGCTAAAAAAGGCTGGGTATTTGGAGGTTACGGGGGTAGAGATGCCCTTCCAGCGCGTTCGAGCGAAGGAGTTCCACGAGTTTGTGCAGAAAGCTGGTTTGGGCCTGAGCGACTTGCCCGACAGCGCAACAAGGCGGACCACCTCTTTGCCCTGAGTTCCTGGACTCGTTTTGATACATTACTTTTTTCCTATTGAGTAGGATCTTTGGACTTCAAGTTGGTCGTAAATGAAGATGGGCGCCTTTTTTTTTTGGGGGGGGGGGGGGTGAACTGGCGAGTAGTTAGTTGGTTCATCAAGCTTAGTTGCAAGCAAGAAGTGTGGGCCCTGAGTCTGAGCCTCGTATTTGGACCACTCGAAGTTCGACTCCTGCGAAGCGCCTCGAGGTGGGCCGCTGGTGGATCTGGTGGTGAGCACTTCCACCGAGAGGCTGCCGGAGCCGCAGCGGCCAGAAACTCCACATGGCCAGGGGTCAATATCCCGTACCCCTAGTGAACATCCCAATCCCCACTAAAATAGGTTCTAAAATGGGTGCCGCACCTAACACAAAATGGTACCATTGGTTTTGACCCACAGCCTCCATTTGCTTAATCATAGTTGTTTCGTTGCCCTCGTTGGTGTGAAAGGGAATCGGTTTCACTACTGGAAGTATGTTTCATTTTTTCCCAGAAAACTTAAGCAAATGGAGGTTGACCAACCCTGACCCAGAGGGACCCCTTTGTACCCCCCAAAAGCCATTTTTCATGAGGGGCCCAGGAATGGAATCGGTCCGGGTTCTTCATCGGGGGATTATTCAATTGGTGGGTTTGGATTGGTGGTTTGGGATTTGAACGGGTCCCTGGTTCTTGTAGAGGGTAAATGGGATATTGGGCTTACCCCTCCGTTCCAAAGCACCAATTGGAGGGAAGCTGACATTGAGTGTAAAAATAGGTACCTGGAGTCTCCAAACAAAAAAGTGGTCCATGACCCCATCATTTTGGGTAGTGATCCCATTCTTACGGGTCAGAAGGAGACTCCAGGCGTATAAAACCCGGCTCGAATTCGTGCGCCTCGTTTTGCAGAGTACAGCGCTTGCTCCCTGAGTTCCCCCTTGGTAAGGGTGTAAAACTCTGTGAACCTATCAAGCCGAGACTCCATACATGCCTTGTGCTGGACCTTGGACCCTCCCCGTGCCTTTTGTTACTTAGAGGCTCCAATGGATTTAGGGCCAACCTGGGTTTGAGACCCCCAACCTGTGAACCTATCAAGCCGAGGCCCGCGGGCAAGATGAGGAGCAAGCCACGGAAGTCCGGAGGATTCTACGGCGGGGCCGAGGGAGCTTCGCCAGGTCAAGCCCCCTGGATCCCCAGTTGCCAAACTATTTTCCAGCTACTTTTGCCAAATTCTGGGGTTCCAGTGGCTGCAAAGAAGTGGCTATACTTGAAAATCCAGGTGGCCGTTAATCCCCCGCAACCTCCAGGGTGTGATGTCAAGCCTCTACTGGAACAGGAGGCAAATACCCGTAAGAAAGCCGATCGGTTTTCCCAAAGAGAGCCTTCAACAAGCGGGTTGGAGGGACATGGGTCCGTACCGAATTCTGATGTCCAAGGGGTGCCTTATTAAAAGAAACAGCAACACCACCTTTTTACAAGTGGGAGCCTTCAGCGTCAAGGGTTTCGGCTTTGGGTTCCGGCTTGCGGTTCCTCACATCCTGAGTTCCTGGACTGTCACTTTTTGGGGTTGGACCACTTTTGGGGTTCGGACCTTTTTAGTGACAAATGATTCTAGTCCTAAAATACGGCCACTCACTTTTGTTTGGATCTCATCCGCTTCTCGGAAGTGAGATAAGCACAGCACAGCAGCGGCTTGGCTTTTTGGGAGAGCCGCCTGATCGCTTTCCGCCAGGTTTCGCGCGCACGGCGGAGAGCTGCTTTAAGCCGAACGGCTTGAAGCCCCCGCGGCAAGAGTGGCTCCCCGAGGCTCGGCCGGGCACGGGGGAGCGCTCTCCCGGGGTTTCGCCGGGAGACCGAGCTCCGGAACCACCGGGGGTTGGAGACCTGGAAGGCCATGAAACTTCGTTCAAATCGATCTTTCGGAGAAATATGATTGATCCGTGATCCGGGGTCCGGAAAAAAAAAAGAACAACACACTCTTTGGGGGTTCCTTTGGGAAAGACAAACATCCTCACTCCCTGAGTTCCTGGACTTTCGTAACTTTTGGGGGTTGGACCATTTGAGTGGCTGACAAAAAGTTCGGTTTCTTGTCTGGGGCCAACTCAGGAGGTGAGAAGCCGATGAACCAAGCGTGTGACTTTTTGTTAGAGCCCCCCCAAGAAATGCTAGGCTTTCCTTTTGGTGGCCCTTTAAAACCATCTTAAGAACAGTTAGAAAGGTGAGAGATCCTTTCTATGATTTGCACTCAAAAAGAAGGTTAAGAGACAGTTCCGAGCTTGACATGGTTTCGGTCGTTGACCTGAACTTCCGTGACCTCTTGATACGAGGTTTTGGTTGTGACGTAGTTGGCCCACAGGCCGAAACGAATCGATCGTTTCAGGAGCAGCGATGGCGCGTGACCTATTCGGGCAACTGCGCGGAGGGCGTGGCCCCTTGACGCAACCAAAGCAGCCGCGTCGGATCATGGCTCTCTGTGCTGGGGCATAATGTTAACCCATAATTATTAAACCCCTGGATGATTAATAGGGGGGTGTCCCCTTTTAGTGGGGATTCATCACTTTTGGAGGTAACACCCCCCTAAAATGGGACGGGTTTATTAATCCTGGGTCAACATTATGATGGTTTGACTTGTCTAAGGCTCCTTGCAAGAAGCACAACTTGGCCGTTTCGACAGCCGAAAGGAATACATTCTTCCTTGGGCCCACAGGCTCCCGATTGATTTACGGCCTTCAAACAACCTGATTTTGAGACCCCCAACCACCTTCAGGGTGTCTAATGGAGGGGTCGGGTCTTCCATTGCTAGCCCCAGGAGGTTGTGGGGGCTGGAAATGCGCAAGTGGATAATTATTCTAAGACTCCCCGTTGTTTCATGTGTGTTTTATGGACCTGGACCTGGACCCTCAAAATTCCCTTACAACTATGTTTTTGCAACCCAACATAATGGTGGGTGAATTCCCTTTCTTCACAAGCCGTTTCTTTGGGTGGTTGTCAAAACAAACTCGTAGGGCTGTCCCTACGCTCCATGCTCAGCGGTTCGCCCAGGTGTCCTTATCTCACTTTTGTGGATTTCACCTGTTACTCACTCCCTCAGCTCTTGGAGTTTAACCTTTTTGGGAAGTGGTAAAGAACAAGCTTGGACCTTTTTTTGGGGGGGCCATCTACTCGGGAAGTGAGGTTATGGCCCCAAAAGGTTAACCTGTTGTCTAGAAAACGAATTGGACGCGCTGTTTGCAGATTTCACTGATTTTTCGTCGCCCTGGTGGTCCGATTTTTGTTCGTAATCTTTCAGTAATTTACAGGAGTGGATCCCAACCGAACCTTGGCAACCCCTTCAAGTTGCCTTGTTTTTTGGGGCCCCGCGGCAACTAGGTACAGCTCCCGGTTAGGGCGATTGCAACTTGCACTCTTCTCGCCTTACACTTGCAGCGCTAAGCTTTCCTTACCTCTCAAAAACACAACTTTTCTCAACTTTTGGGGGTAACATGGGCTATATGTCTGTAAAAGATGAGAACTTCCCCAGGGCTTGGAGTTTTAAGGGGTAAGCTTTCATGCCTCCTTGGCCGCGTTGCGGCCGTTTTTTTTCCCCCAACCGCTGGAAGCTATGGGGTCGATAGGCCCAGATTGGCTCTGGGGTTTGGGGGCAGCTTTCAGGGTTCCGCTGTTGGGGATACCTGGGCTTATTGTTCTTCCATTTGCTGAAATGAGTATGTTTATTTTTTTCCTTGTTTGTTTCAAAAGGAAACTAAGAGTATGTGTTTTTTGTTTGTTTATGTTTTTGTTTTGTTTCTTTATTGGTTCGAAAAGGAATCTATGGTTAAGGCCCGAGGGGTTCTGGGGCTTGGTCTGAACCCGAGGGTCCCTGTACCCGAGTTGCTTCCGTGTCAAAAGCAGATTCCTAGATATACCCCCTACTCCAAATACCAACGCCTTTTTCAGTTGGTATTTTTGGGAAACCGATCGGTTTTCCAGGGTAAATACCGAAGCTACTTAGTAGGGGGTCGACATGATACCCTCAAAAAAGGCTGGTATTTGGAGTACAATTCATATATATATATATATATTATATTCTGACTCTGTTTCATATTCAGCCTACCCTAAATTGTCAAGCAGCTCCGAAAACCAACGACGGTCTGAAGTCCATGTTACACGGCTTCGAAAGGTTATGGCAAATGGGGAGCCCCCCAAATCATGGTGGGGTTCCCTTAAGGGTTTCCCTGGACCCTCAAAATTTCCCTAAAAACGGGTTATTGCCCCAAGATTATGGTGGGTGAATTCTCCTTTTTTATGGGTAGTCGAAAGAGCACAGGTCCCTTTAAACTTCTCCCAAGGCAGCAGGAACCAACCCCTTTCTCCAATTTCAGTTGGCATTTTCGGGAAAGCCGATCTGTTTTCCACAATACAGCTCGTTAACCTGTTTGTTCGCAAGGTCGACAAATCATACCAACCTAGATTGCCAAGTTGCCACTGTTTTCAGTCGCTGTTGCTGGTTTTGGGGTAAAGCGGATTGAAAAAGGCAGCAACTGGCGATCCAAAAAGCTACAAATCTCCAAACCTTTTAAAGAAGGAGGGTCGACACGTCATACCAACCTGGATCGCCAGATGCTGTTTTTTTCCATGAACTTTACCGCAAACACCAGCAACAGTGACTGAAAAAAGCGATCGCAGCTTGGCGATCTAGGAACTTGGCAACAGTCTTGACTGCTACTGGGTTGGATCTTTAGACTTTAACTGTTTAGGAAACCAAGTTGGGTTTTCCACTAAACCCCCCAAAAGTGAAACTCACTTTTTGCGGGGGTTCAACAGCAACCAAGAAGTCGCGGCCGGGTCTTTGGAGCTTTCAGTTCGACAAACGGCTCGCGCTCGAGGCGGCCATCGACCACCGCTGCGCCGTGCTGGCGGACTCCTCTAGCCGCGGGGAAGCCAAGTTGCAACGGCGAAGAAAAGTGGCCCCCAGCTATCGGTTTTCCAAGGAATCCCCTGAACAAGAACGGCAAATGATTTGGAGTAAGGGGTTAGTGGTAGCGAAACAAGGTTGCCTGAACCCTCAAACCTGTAAAAACGGGCTACCTGGATCGCCAGTGTCTTTTTCGCTTTTTTCCCATGACCTTTTCCCCAAAAAACAGCAACAGTGACTGCGCAACTTGCCGATCTAGGCCGATCTCCTTAGGCGAATTGAAAAAACCTGCCTGGATCGCCAAGTTCCGATCGCTTTTGTCCGTCACTGTGGCTGGTTTTTGGGGTGAAGTTCATGGGACAAAAGCGGCAACTGGCGATCCAGGCAGGTGTCAAGTGGAAGGTTTGTGGTTTCTTTTGTGTTTTGTTTTTTGTCTTATAAACAAATAAGAAAACAGGCTTTCAATCACATGAATTGCCCTTAGCAAAGGGATGACAGAATACCCACCAGGTCTTTGGAGCTTTCGGGGAGGCATTCCGGACGGCTTCCCATGGCTTCCCATGGCTTCCCAGGTCTAAACCGGCCGATTTCTTTTGGGATTTGCTGGGAGGATTTCCCGAAATTCTGAAAGTTTAGGACTGATTAAGGGTAGTTTGGAGTTTGGTGATTTGTTGTTAGGATTTCCCCCCAACAAACCCTTAAGGAAAGGTTTATGACGGATTGTAGTTCTTGCTTTCCATTTGCGTAAGAGTTTGGAGTCATGTTTGATGTGTTTTTCTGTCGGTTGTTAGGGGAATGCGTCACTAATAGACATATGAGTTGTTGCGTTTTGTTTTTTCCTCAGGGGACTTAGCAAATGGTCAGTTCATCCTGGTTCTTGTAGATGGCAAGCATGGGAACTACCCTCAGCCACCAAACCACGAATCCAAACTACCGAGGGAAGCTATACACTTTCTACGACATCATAGAGGGCCGACATCATACCCTGAAAGAAAATGGTATTGGGTGTAGGGGGTAGGTGTCCTTTTTAGATTAGTTCCTAGAAACAGATGGCACTGAAGATGGGTTTTGTTTCATCTGCGAGGCCATCTACGGTCCAAAAAGGACACCTGTGGTTGTGCCTAAAACTCCTTGTCCGGGAAGCAAGGTTGCGGGGAAGTTTGCCTTGTTTGGTCGGTGCTCTCGAAAAATGGTGAATCCCAAAAACGGGCTCTGAGTATTTTCCTATGGGTCTCTGGTTGCAATTGGGTGAACGTCAGAGTTGGGAGGCGTGTTTAAGCCCGACCTTTGAAGGGGGAAGGAACATGTTTCAGTTGCTTAAAGACGTGTGGCTTACTTTGGTTGTTTTTGAGAGGGGGTGGGCCGCGGGCCCCCTGAAAATCCTTGGATTGAGCAAGGTGCTTGGGGATGATCCCATCCCAAGCATCCAATTCCAGTCTGGGGGTCGGAGAACAGACGGATTGATTGTCGGGAAAATGAGATGCTATCCAACCAGGTTTCCTGGACCCCCAAAGGACCCCTTTTTTCTGCCTTCGACCCAAAAAAAGGCTACAAAGGCAGAAAAAAGGGGTTCTTTGGGGGTCCAGGTTCTTTCATCTTGATGATTTTGATCGATTCCTCCGGGGGTCGATTGCTACTTTTCCCGTGACTTGGGCCCGTCCTAACTTTGGTGAACTCCGGCGACAGCAGCCGGGGTGCAGGATAAAGTGGATGGAGAAAAAGGCAGCAACTGGCGATCCAGGTTGTCTTTTGGGGTCCTGCAATTTGGCAGATCGACATGCAAGGCCAGCCACACAAAGCTCCAACTTGACGCCCTAGAGTACACCCCCGTAACCTCCAAATACCCACCTTTTTTGAGGGTGTGATGTCGGCCCTTTGCTACAAAAGGAAGCATCACCATAGAAACTACCATGACAATAGCCCCGAGAGTAGGTTGTATGTAAGGAGGTTGGGTGTCGGTTTTGGGTAAGCCTTGTGCTGTCGAACACTCTCGTGTGGCATGTTTCAGCTTGGACCTTGTGTTCATTTTTGTGACAAAAGTGAATCGAGAAGCTGTGGCTGGACGACGTTCATTTCGCACCACTTGGAAACCGTGGTTGACACCACAACGTTTTTTGTTTTTTTTTGGGGGGGGGGAGGGAACCAGGGTTTCTTAAGCGCCAAATGGACGAAACGTCCATCCACGGTATTGTTGACTACTTTTCTTTGCAACGAGCAAGGCGACTGGGTGGATTTGGTGCTGGTTTCCATGCGCGAGGGGGTTCGATCAGCCAGGCAGCCCAGCTTTCGACCTCAGCTGCAGTGAGTCAGGTTTGAAGGTTAAAGGTTCAGGCTACCCCCAATTGGGGAATTGAACATATGGGTGTGACCTGAACATCGGGGAAATGTTGGGGGTTTGGATGGGTGTAACAGGGGAATTGAACATCTCGATTTCCGAATTGAACACGCTGGGGAATTGAACATCTGGGTGTAATTCGTGGTTTGGATGGGTGGTTTGGGGAATTGAACATTTGGTTAAAACATTTCGCGCATGAAGCCCCCCCAAACAAGCCACCAAATCCAAGCAAACCATGGTAAAAGCCGCTGGGAAAATATTCAGAAACCAGCCTGGACCCCCAAAGGACCCCTTTTTTCTGCCTTTGCACCCCTTTTTTTTGGGTCAAAGGCAGAAAAAAGGGGTCCTTTCAGGTGGTGCGAGAAGCAAATGGATTTCGTTCAACCATCCATCGAATGTTTCAGGGGCTGCTTGTTTGGACCACTTTGCAAGCCGAACAGGAGCCTGTGGACCCCCAAAGGACCCCGATTTTTTTTTCTGCCAAAGGACCCCAAAAAAAGGGGTACAAAGGCAGAAAAAAGGGGTCCTTTGGGGGTCCAGGTGTTCTTCTTTTTTTTTCTTCTCAAACCGCCGGTATTAGTGCTTGCATTCCATTTACCGGGACAACCCATTTTGGGGTTACCCTATGTTTGACCCACAGCACGGAAACCAGCTAGCCAACTGCAAACCATCTTGTTGGCTCGCGAGTACCTGCTGCTTTTCCTTCCGCCTCTTCGAGTTGTTTGCGATACACACAGATGGGGTGTTGTCAAAGACAGGTTCCTTTTGGGACCTAGCGCCTATTGAAGGGGGGGAAACGCCCACTAATTCTTTTTACAACCACGCATCTCTCTATGGCCGAAACTGGCTAACACCCTATGTCAAAGTGGCTGACCAAAATGGGTGACCCCAATTTAAGCCAAACAATTGCCCGCTCACAGATACCCAGAGAGCTCACGTTTTTCACAAGCGGAAAGCATCATTTGTATGTTTAAACCGTCCCCACACGGAAGTATCGGGAGCCCTGTTTCGGGGAAGTATAGGGACCCCTGTTTCAAACGGGGGTAAGCAGCCAGAATGTAAGGGAAGAAGGCCAATCCCAAGCGTGAAATGCACAACCAGCCCTGTGGAATTCTAGCAAATCTTGTAGCTGTCAAGGTAGCCCTGGACGATGAATCCCCATGGATTCGCCACAAGTGTCGCGATAAATGCGTGAAGCAAAATTTGAAGCAGCCCAAACCTGGCAACAGGAACCAAGGTGTCCTCTCTCCCCTCTCTCCTCTCTCCTCTCCCCTCCTCCCCCGCCCCTCTCCCCCTGGCCCCTCTCCCCCGAGAGAGGCACACCGGATCCCTCAATTTAACTCAGTTGCCCAAAGCCGACCTTTTGACCTTTTGGTTTTCCCATTTTGGGTTCCCATTTTTAGTAGAGGTGCCAAAAGGTGATCACCTTTTATTTCCAACTCCGTTGGGCAAGTGAGTTAACCTCAGGTGCTGCTGAAAGCCGCCGACTCGGTGGGGCCGCCCGCCAAGGACCAGCCGTAGCTCGGGCTCTTTGGATCATGAGGAAGGCTGGGGGAGGGGGAGGACATGAGGCTCCCTCCGCCCCCCACCTCCCTCCCCCCAGCCATGACTGGAGTTTCTGAGTTGCTGCCTTCCCGAGTTCATGATTTTTCATTTTTTTTTGGGAAGACTATGTTCGTGGTACAGGAAAAAAAGAACACGCCTGTTTTTGTTGGGCCACTGACTGACTAGGGAAGTGAGCCCCCCCCAAATCGGTATTCAGCCTGGAAACCACAGGGTTTCGGTGGACACGTCCCCCCCAAAAACGACGGGTACTTTGATGTTTGTCTGCAAGTGGAAACCGCTACTTGGGTTATAAGTTATAACCCCCCTTGCTGACAAGGTCAAAATGGCGGACTCCATTTGTGGGTTATAACCTAGGCTAGCGTTACAACTTACTGACTTGGCGAATCGAACACCGAAGTAAGTACCTTTTTAGGGATCGCAAGCCTCTAAAACACTTCTTCACTTTTCAGTAGCCACTGTCCTTTTCGCACCCAGTCACCCAAGATTCGTGGTTTTTGGGTATGATGCCGACCCTTGAGTAAAAAAAGCAAAGTGTTTTTACATGTATTTACTATGGACAACTATTTTTTTGAAAAATAACACAACCAATGGCGGGTGTTTGGGGTGGGGGGAGGGGAGGCTTGGTTGCCATGGATTTGGTGGGTCAGGGGCAACCAAGAGGTTGTTTAAGGTTTGCGTCAAGCAAGTTTCAAGAGCCGGGGCCAAAGCTGTTACAACCAGACCCTGCCACTGGAAGAACTATGGGCCCAATGCATCATCCACCAGCTGATTTCGAGGACTTTCTTGAGCAGGCGGTTGTTGGATACATCCTTGAAAGAACTCCTGGTGCCCTTCAATCAACAACTGAGGATGTTGTTGAACGATTGAACAATAGTTGTTCAAACACATTGGAACATGGTTGTCCCAACCCTGTGAGAGACAGGGTTCCCTGGGATGGCTGAAAACAAGAGCTCAGAAGTAGAGGGTGTGTCTTCGACCAAACCACTAGTACTCCGGCCAAAGGCGGGGTGCGGGCATCGGTTACTTGAAGTGGGTTACAACCCTGGTTATCACCCACTTTCCTTTTTATGAGTCACATAAGTGGGAGATTTCACCAGGCTACCCATTTGACGTACCCTGCATCGATCGCCGCTTGAGTAGCTCTTCAACCACTCCCCCTGCTCCAAATACCCGCTATTTTCAGGGTATCATTTCGACCCTGTACCAAAAAAGGAGGTATTTACCATGGAAAACCGATCGGTTTTCCCAAAATGACCCCCCGAAAAAGACAAAAACAAGGCGGGTAGTTTGAGTCGGGGGCTTCAATCAGCGGTGCAGCCGAAGCCGCCCCGAAGCCGCCCGGACGCCAAATCCAAAGCGCCAGGAGGAGATGGACGCTTTGGGCCTCCGGGCAGCGATGGTCTTCGCAAGGCCGCTGCGGGACCTTGGGGAGAGGCGCGGGGAGGGTGGGGTGGGGAGGGGTTGGGGGTGGTTGCGAGGGAGCAATAGCGGGGGGGGGGGGGGAGGGAGAACCGGTGTGTTTTTTAGGTTTCTCCTTGTTGGTACTCTTTTGGAAGGTATTTGTAAAAAAAAAACATCAGCCCATTTTAGGACTTCCCTTTTTGAGATAAGCCCACGACTCGCTACCTGGATCGCCAGTGCCAGTTGCTGCTTTCTTCCATGAACTTTACCCCAAAAACCAGCAACAGTCACTGAAAAGAGCGATCGCAACTTGGCTATCTAGGTACTCTTTTTGGAAGGGCAACCGAAAAAGTCGGCCCATTTCGTGACTTCCTTGAGCTGAGCTGACCACGTTGCAAGGGAGCCGCACGGAACCCCCCGGACTTGCCGCACGCCGCTGAACGCCGCGAGGTACATGCGCGAGGTCCTGCGGGGCCGGCCCTTCCTCGCGGTGCATATCCGCCGCGCCTCGGATGGGTGAGCCCTCAAACCTTCCTAGGGGGAGGGGAAGCCCCAGGAAAACCCACGGGACACTTCAGAGAAACCAGGGGAAGACCAACTTTTTTAGTTGGTCTCATGTCGACATACTCAACTAGGTCTCCCAGTAGTGCCCTTTCTCTTCCCGGTTGTGGGGATGGTCTGATGTTTTTAAGGGGACCCCGCAAAATGGTGTTTTTGGTCTAAAACAAAGGGAACCCGCCCATGTGGGTCTGGCCTGCTTTCTGGAGTTGGGACCCCCTCTCATGGGCGACTTTGAAGGGAACAGCAAGGCAAGCCACAATTGTGGGTCCCTGAAAAAGCAAAAAAAAACACCCGAGTCTTGGCGTGCCTTGTTTTAGGCGAATTCGGTTGGTTTCTTTGCTTTCCCTGTAACCTCTGAAAGGGCACCCTGGAAACTTGGTCAGCGTTGAACCTGAAACCTCAGATTTCAGTATTTGCTGGCAATATCTTGACTGCTATTGGGCTGGATCTGTAGACTTTAACTTTTTGGGAAATAAATGTGTTTTCCACTAAACCCCCAAAAGTTAAACTTTTTGCAGGGAGGTCAACAGCAACCAAGATATCATCGAAGAAAAAGTTGCACCACTACAGTCATGAACCTCTATGGAGGGCCAAGGGGCGTATTTCGGGGGCCCCCAAATTTTGACGGCACCCTTTTCCGGTCGGTTTTTGCCGACCATTTCGCGGGCAAAATTTGGCGTGAAACAAATCCCACTCGCAGGCACCGACTTCCTCTACGCGCGGGAGAAGACCACCCCAAAGCCTGAGGAGATCGGAAACCAGCTGGAGCTGGCCATGGCTGACTTCAAGGTGGACCAGGCGGCTCTACCGGAAGCTCTACCCAATTCTGTGGATGGACGAAATCCAATTCGCACCACCTGGAAACCATGGTTAAAACCATTGTGCATTGATATTGACAGGGGATCATCATTCCTAGGCTTCTTAGGTGGTGCAGGATTTCGTCCATCCACAGTATTGGGTAGGATCTTTAGACTTCAACTTTTTGGATTCCCTTCATATTTCCTTTAGAACCAGCAAAAAGTTATTTTTTTTGCTGGGGGATCGGCGGTTGCTTTGCAGGGGATTAAATTCCCAAAGCGAAAGGTCTATAGCGAAAGGTCTCCTGAAGCGAAAGGTCCATGCAGTTGGCCGAAGTGCGTTGTGCAGAATGCAGCTCTGAATAGGAGTACATTCTGCATGGAGCAAGAGCACGATTTTCGGTGTTTGGCTGCCTGGGTCGTGTGTTTGCCTCCACCCGGAAGTGGTTCTTGAAATTTATCCGGTTGATGTCGGGTTTTGTTTGTTGCTTCGTGGGTTGCTGTTACGATTGGCTTATGTGAGTTTATGCGGACTTGTTTGTGTTTGGATTTATTTTTCTTTATTTTCTCATTTCGTTGGTCGGTGTGTTGTTTTGTTTGGTTTGGTTTGTGTCGTGTTGTTTTGTTTCTTGATGTTGCGTTTGCGTGTTTGGCTGATTTGTGTTTGGTTGGGTGGGTTGGGTTGCGTTGGGTTGCGTTGGGTCGGGCCGGGCCGGGTCGGGCTGGTTGGTTGTTTGGTTGGTTGGTTTGTTTGTTGCTTGGCTGGTAGGTTGGTTGATGGAGTGGTTATGTGTGCTGTTTGTTGCCGGTTTGGTTTGGATTGATTTAGGCTGGTTCCGGTGCTTGGTGTGTTTGGTTGGTTGGTTGCTTGTTTGCATGTTTGTTTGGTTGGCTGGTTGCTTGATGGGGGTTGTATTTTGCGTTGTTTCGCGTTGTTTGTTTTGCTTGTTTAATTTGTGTGTGTGTGTGTGTTGCTTGTTTGGGGGGATTGGGGACTGGTTCGCTTAGCGGGAGCCGGGAGGGGAAGCATATGAGGTACTGGCAATACTCTCGTGCTTGCGGGATGTAAGAGTCGCGCACATTGTGTTGGACAATCACGAAGCCCGGTAAAACGATAAGGTGCAAAAAAGAACGATAAGGTTTTAGGGTGTTTCCGTGTTGTGTGTGCTGGAAAACGATAAGGTTTGGAGCATGGAATGCACGTATTGCTAGCATTTTGCTCAATCTTGTTTCAGTGGGATGCTTCTTTTTTCAGTGGGATTCACCTTGTCATCCATTTGCTCAAGAATATGTGTTATTTTTTCCTGTTGGTTTTTGGAGGGAATCTATCACTACTGGCCATATTCTTTTATTTTTTCCAGGGCTTAAGCACATGGAAGTTTTTGGGTGGACCACCCGGAGACGCCCGCAGAAAACGTCTCGTGCGAGGTCTATGTGGCCACAGACGCGGTGTCAGAGGTTCGGGAGGCCTTGAAGGAGCTTCGAGGACGCGGCGAGAAGCATCCGCTTCGGGCGACGGAAGGGTTGGGTTTACAGAATGGGTGGCTGGTGTTTTTTTGGGGGGATGGTACCCCTTGGTTGGGCTTAAGAGGAACCAAGAGGAAACCGAGTCCAGGTACCCCCTTTTGGGTTGGTTTTAGCGGGAACGGAGAGGAAACCGAGTCCAGTTTGCCCGCGCCAGGGCCCAGGCGGAGTCTCCATGTCGGGAGATTTTTCGTGGGTGTCCCTAAAGGGGCGATTGGGTATGTCAGGTAAGTCCCTCACTTAACGTCAGGTAAGTGGGTATTAGCCATCGTTACCACCCACAAAAGCCATGGTTATACGTCTCCTAAGTGGGTAATAACCCTGGTTACCACCCGCAAAAGCGTTCAGTGGGTTACAGCCAGGCTTACGCAGCACTTGCTAAGTACCCTGATGTTCCCTCATCCAAAGCGACACGACCTTTTGACCTTTTGGTTTACCCCTTTTGGGTCCATGTTTAGTGGGTACCCCCAGGTTCAATCCGTGGTTTGGCTACTTGATGCTCAAAGAACATTCATGGGGGTGTTCCCATTAAAGTGGACTCATCTTTACATCCAGTTTTTGCCTGCATGCTAAGTACACCATTGAAGTCCATGTTTCCCAAAAGCTGACGCCAAGAGTGACGGATGGTTGATTTTGACCGGACCGCCTATCTAGCCACGTTTTGGGGAAAAAGACTTCTTTCAGTTTTGTGTTTCAAGTGGATCGAATGTGGGCATGTCATTAGAATGTCTATTTCCAATGTCCACCTGCACAATTCGAATCTGAGGGTCTCAAGGGGTCACTTCCTTCCAAGACATCTGTCGTTTTTGAAGACCTGGAATGCCCCCCCAACCCTTTGCTAGGATTCCATTTGGGGATGTCGGCTTCCAAAAAAACAAATCGATTGATTCCTGGGGCACCAGCAAGCCAAAGACCCCAAGAACAATTCTTGGAAAGAGTGGGAGTACAGACACCATGTCAAGGATACATAGCCACGCTCCCCTGAGTTCCTGAACTTTTATACTTTTCGGGAAGGATCATTGGAGTGAGAAACAAACAAAATGGACACTTGTTGGCCAATCCACTCGATCGGAGTGGCCCACTTTCTCTGCCCCGCGCATGTGAAGCAAGCGCCCCCACTCCTGAGATTTGGAGCTGTCACCTTTGGGTGGATGCCCCTACAGGCTGCCTTGTAAATTTCCATGGCATTAAAAGAGGGGCACTTGATTTTGAGACAAATCCAAATGTGGCCCGGTTTTCCCTTTTCGAAGACCCCGTAAACCGAGGTGAGCACTGCATATGCTCTGCCCCTCTTGGGCAGCCCACGTGAAATTGCAAAGCAATACTTGCATGTTCATCTACGCCGGGTGCTAGGTTATAGTCAGGGTTTTGGGGGCAGTTGACTTGTCGCAAGTTGATTGGCCAACAAGTGTCATTTTTGTTGTTTACCACTCGAATGGTCCTTCCCAAAAAATATAAATTTCAGGAACTCAGGGGAGCGTGGATATGTATCCTTGATATGGTGTCTGTACTCCCACTCTTTCCAAGAATTTAGTAGGTAGGAGCGTCGAGGTAATTTTTGGTCCACCAGACATCTTCTCGTGGAGGAAAGGTGCTCTTCCTGGAGGACATGCCAGAGGTTTCGGACCCAGACGAATGGCTGAGGCTTCCCTAAACTCGGTCCCCCAGCGATCGGTGCCCTTCTCACCCCTTTTTTGGGGAGGGTTCCCCCACGAAAATAGACTACAGAAAAAAGGGTACCCTTGTTCTAGCCTAGCCTCTCTGCTGGAGGCCTAGGTAAATGCGTGGTGAAAGCTCATGGTGGTGGGAAACAGCGTTTCAGATGCCACCTTTGTGCAACAATTGTTCACGGGTCAAAACTCTTTTTGCGTCTCCGTTGGTCGAGGCTGGCCTTCACTCCCATTCTTGTCAGGGCCCTTTTGTTGTACTTGTTGTAGAATCAGCGCACTGTTTTTGAAGCCCGCAACGAAATACTCGGCACAAAGCATCGGATGAGCTGAGGCTGGCCGTGATCGATGTTTTTGCGGGCACGTCAGTGAGTCAGCCCCTGACCCGTCAAGACTCCTGGTTCGGCCTTACTCTAAATACCCGCCTTTCTTAGGTCGACCCTTTGCTAACAATGGAGGTATTTGCTCTGAAACTCGATCGGCTGTCCAAAACATGCCCGAAACACGGCGGGTGTTTGGAGCTTTCGGAGGTGCAAAAGGTGGATCGCGACCTTTCACTCGTGGCTTGCACCAAGCGAAGTCAACTACCAGCGCTCATCGGGTCGCAAGCAACGTGCGCACTTGAGGTAGCTTCCGAAGCCGGCAGGACGCCCAGATGCAACAAAAGCCTTTGCTATTGGCCGGCGCCTTCAAACTTATTTTAACCAGAGGCTCCTGGCTTTCAATGGAAGACCCGACCCTCGAGTAGACACCCCGAAAATTGGTTGGGACCCGGTCTCAACACCAGGTTGTAATCAATCGAATTGGATCCTCCGGGCCTCCGGGTACTGTTTTCCCCATGCCGACTGGAGGCTTCTTGCGGCATTTGGGGCCTGTTGGCTTTGGGAGGGTCTTGAAGCCATGTCCTTTTTAGTGAAGAGTAGATGGCGATTCCTGGTTGACCTCGTTGTCTGACTTCCTGATTCCGTTTCGGACTGCAAAGTTTTTGGTCTTAGGCCATTTGAGTGGCAAACACACATTTTTGGGTCCACTTTTTTGAGGGAAACGCACTCAGGAAGTGACTCGTCCACAACCCCAGTTCACCCCCCTACAAAAGGACACCAAAAAGGGTGAAGCAGGGTTTCTCCAAAAGCCCGGTTGAACCGGGTCTTTAAGTTTCAAATTTGGGTTGGCAGAAGAAATGCGAAGAAGAATCCAAAGGACCTATGGCATACCCCGAGGTTGGGCAAGGTTTGCATGCTCGAAAAACCAGAGGGTCCTTTGCAGGGAGGGTACCACCCCGAAGTTCCTATGGAAATCCGCCCAGGAGCTTTTGTCACTGGGCAAAGTTTGAACCTCCCCCATGTCACAGGGTGTTGCATCTAAATTAGAACAAGTTTTGCCAGGTTCAAAGGGTTTCTACATGTAGGTGATTTGGTGTATTCTTTTACCAGGGCCCTTCTCTCACTCCCTGAGATTCAGGAAATATAGGTATGTCTACCCCAGCTTCTGGGGCTTAACGGTTCCCACTTTCGATACCGGAGGTTTGCTGGAGGGCGAGGTAGCCGCTATTGAGCCAGAGCCTCAGATCCGAGCAGATCTTGTGTGAGAGGCGGGTGTCCATAAGTTTCGCTTGTTTGTCGTGTTGTTGTTTTGCGTTTCTTGATTTCTGCTGCTGCTGCTGCTGCTGCTGCTGGTGGTGGTGGTGGTGGTGGTGGTGGTGGTGTTTGATGTTTATTGGTTGTCTTAGCCCTGCGCTCAAATCGATACGACAAACAAATTGGTGTGCGAGTGTTGTTGCAACGAGGCGAGCGTTGTCTTGACCAGGGTTTTAGAGAAGATTTGTCTGATACCAAGGCACCCCCCTTGAGCGTGAAAAAGTAGAACAGATGACCCCATGTGGTACTGTGGATGGGCGACATCCTGCGCCACCTGAGAAACCCGGAATCAATGATGATTCCCCTGAAAATACCAACAAACAATGGTTGCCCAAGGTTTCCAAGTGGTGCACGGTTTCGTGCATCCACAGTATCACCGAAAGGGCAATGTTCCGCAACCACTTGCAACCAAAGCGAATCGCCCTGAAAACATTATGGCAACCATTTTTAGCCATGACCCCAAAATACGATTACTGTTTTTGCTCAAGATAGTTGTTCTGAATACGGCGTGATCACATCTAGGTACGACTTCAATTGGTAACTGCGTAGTGGACATAGTTTTTCTTGCATCTAGGTAATCCTTAGTCGGTGGTTTGGATTGGTGGTTTGGTCTGAAATCCTGGCTTTTGTAGAGGGTTAGTGGGCAACTCCTGCGTTTCGCCGAATGCAAACCACCGGGCTCCAAACCACCAAACGAGATGAACGCTGAACTGATCTTCTAGGGCTTGATTCCTCTTCCATTCTTTTCAACCATCCTTCTTTTCAATAACCGGATCCGTTTCCAACCTGGGTTTTTGATGGTTTCCTGAAAGATTCGGATCCCTGGAAAGAATGGAAATGGAAGGTACCCCTATCTCTGGGTCCAAAGCGGCAGGGCTCCCTCACGTCCCACGAGCTCAGGATGTGGATCGCAGCAAGGGCCGCAGCATTTCTGGGCACTCAGGCCCCGAAGCGAGTTCCTGGAGTCTCCCCCTTGACTCTTTAAAAATGGTTGGTCATTACCCGAAAAAATGGGGTCATCGACCCGTTTTTAAAGGGTCATGGAGACTCCAGGTCCCCAATTCTCCCCAAACGCGTCATTCACTCCCGGGATTCCCGAAGCATTCTGGGCCCTCCAATGCAGAACCGCGAGCCCTCTTCTGGGAAAGGGGGTTTCCTTTGAGCGTGAAGGATGCTCCGCAAAATGGGCGGCTTGTCCTTTGAGCTCGCTTTGCCACCATCCAACAGTCATCTTCATGTTTTACCCTTTGATAGTTTAAGCGTGGAGCCGATGTGACGCGAGTTTCACCTTGATAATGCGGGGTCAAGGGCCTATTCAGGCATGGGTATGTGTGTTGTTGGAGGGACTCTGGCCAAATAAATAAAGGGCGGCTACCAGTTGCATTTGAACCCCTCGAACTCGACTTTCCGCGTTGGGCTTAGGTATATACCGTGCGATATTTCGCCGAGTCAACGACTACTCACTCGCTGAGTTCATGGACTTTGGTTTTTGGTGACTTCTTTTTTTGGGAGGAAAGGCCATTTGAGTGGTAAATCTCAAAACTTCCTGGCTACCTTGGTGGGATCCAATCCATTCCATCCATTTGCTCAAGAACTCTTTTTTGATTTCCCCCTGCTGGTTTTCAAGGGAATCGATTTCACTACTGGACATAGTTTCTCATTTTTTCCAGGGGGCGATTTCAGCAAATGGAAGGGTTTGTTGGGGGGGAGGCGTGTCCCAAGTTCGTTTGGGGGATATTTCGGGATATTTTTTGGTGATTGAAAAGCACGACTTGTGCTTTGGTCCTGCGATTCCAATCCACCTCTCGGAACTAGTTCACATGTCTCAGTTGCCCAAAGCCGACCTTTTGACCTTTTGGTTTTCCCATGTTGGGTTCCCATTTTTAGTAGAGGTGCCAAAAGGTGATCACCTTTTTTGTCCAACTCCTTTGGGCCAGTGAGATCACACGCTTCGGTCAGCGAGGAGAGCCGGTTCACCATGCACATCCAGCAGGAGCGCGCCTGGCTGGGCCAGAGCTTTGCGTCCTCCAACCGGGAGCCTTTTGGGCTCGAGAGAGAGTCGGACAAAAGGGACCGTCCTGGATCGCCAGTGGCTTTTGCGCTTTTTTTTTTTTTTCTCCATGAGCGGTTACCTGGACCTGCAAAGGACCCCTTTTTTTTTCTGCCTTCGACCCAAAAAAAAGGGGTACAAAGGCAGAAGAAAGGGGTCCGTTGGGGGTCCAGGTATCTAGGGTGTGATTTTTTCGGCCGAGAGGCTCCGATTCGATTGAAATTTCGGGCCTTCAAAAAAACCTGGCTTTGAGACCGGGTCCCAATTCCACCAATTCCCGGGGCGTCTCATGGGGTCGGGTCTTCCGTTGAAAGCCGAAGCCAGCCTCTGGGTGGGTTGGGGGGGGTCTTGAGTCTTTTTCGAGGCTCGGGTGGTCCCAAAATGAGGGAACCCGCGTAATGGCTGGTTTCCTTATGGGTTTTTCTCTAAAGCCAACCAAAAGAGGGTTCCCGGCAAACAAATCGACACAACCAACACGACCACTTCTCTTGGCGGTATTTGAAGGGAAACCAAAGGGAAAATTGAAGCGCACCATTTTTGGAAGGTTCGAATCCCAAAAATAGACATACCAATGTACAGGATGCCACTCTCTCCCAGTGCTTCCGTCATTTAGCTCCGAGTGCTTCCAGGCGTTTCGCCGTGTTGCCCATGGTAAAAAATGCAAGGAAGGTGCAAGCTTCTAGTGGCGAAACGCCTGGAAGCACTGGGAACAGGAGATCGAGCTTGCTCCAAAATCACAGGGGTTTGAGAGATCGAATGTTGACCCGGATTAATTCACCCTGGTTGATTACTAGGGCTGGGGATGCATCACTATTGCAGGGCAAACCCCAGATTAGTAGGATGGGTTTATTAATCCGAAGGAAAAGGCTCAGCTTCCCTCTTGGTCATTTGGATTGCTTGGAGGGTTCCGGTAGGAACTCCTATTGACCCTCTACAAGAACCAGGGATTTGCCTTAAAATTGGAACCCCAAGTTTTTTTGATTTTACCTTCAAATCAACCCAAAGATTTTGGACCCGCGGAATTGCTGTGTTCCTTTTGGAGTCCCTTCAAACCAATCCCAAAAAGGGTACCCGAAGCAACACACAACACAGCCAAGCAGACAATTCCAAAGCAGCATCGTTGGCTTATGAATCTGCCTTTGTTAGATTCCGCTGATTCGTGTGTGTAAACCAAGGGATTTCGCCCAGGTCGCCACTTTTTCCTGAGCCGGGGGTCACGTATTTCCCTCCCAATTGAGACTAAATTTGACCGTCCTGTATAAGTCGGACAAGAACCCGGGCTGCTGAGCCATGTGGGCTTCAAGGGAAACCCAGTGGAAAGCCTAAGTCTTGTGGTCTGAGTCCATGAAAAGTGATTACATGACAGGTTCTCGGCTGATTGCTTCCCACTGCTTGGTGTTTTCCCGTGACTTCCCATGGGTTTCCGTGTCATTTGATTGCACCCCTGACCACTTTTCTTGGCGCCCCCGAACTTCAAACCCGACCCGCGGGGCCCCAAACGGCCGCATCGCTTCCGCTTCCGCGGGCAGAACCCGAGGCTCTGCAAGGCTATGGCGCGGGGCAGGTGCTACTCGCCCTACTTCAAGGCTGGAGGCCAGGTCTCCGTCAGCGACGTCGTCAGTTGGGTCTCGGGGGCATTTGGGATTTCCGGTCAAGGGTGGCAGGTCGGGTGGTCCCCCATGCCCGGTGCCGCGGAGCCCGTGGTTCGTTTGGGTCAACCGGTTTGAAGAATCTCAGGTTTTTCCGAAAGGGAATTCCTGAAGCCTCACGCCAGCCTGGAAACAAAGGGTTGTTGCCCTAGAATCAGGGGGTGATTTTCCCCTTTTGAAGGATGGTTCGAGGGTCCAGCGGGGCCTTGAAATGTTCTCGACACAATAAGTGCCCAGTGGGTTGGGTGCTTCCTTTTGGAGGGCCCCTGAAAAGCTCAACCAAAAGCCCACGAGCCCTGAGTTCTGTTTTAGGCAAACCATTTCAGTACTCCACTCGGGAAGTGAGAAAAGGGATCTGCTTCAGTGGCATTTGAGGAGTAGCACCGTTGCCCTTGTGCAAAACCCACTTCCTGAGTTCCGCTGTCGACTTCAGTCAATTTTGGAAAGAGCAGTAGGCCAGCACTCACAAAGTGTGGTTACGTTTTGTCCCACCCACCCAGGACAGGGACAATGCGACTGTTGCTTTTGGGGAAGTTGGTATAAATAGTATAGGGTCACTTTCGGAAGGCGGAGCACTTTTAAAGTAGGGGATGATTTACAGAGGAATGACAAGGAAAGCCTGACTTCCACAACCATGCTCTGTGCTGAATGCTTTCTGGAAGGCCATCTCAGTACCAATGCTTTTCAGAAGCAGCCTGGACGTTTTGAGCACTCCATTCAGGATTTGTGGGGCACCCTCACCTCTCCTATGATTACGAGTCGGCCGGACACGTAAGTTGGGTTTTCCAGGTGCTTCGATTGCAAGATCCCCGCCCCCTTCAAAGCGGAATTGGGGGACGGGGGCATTCGACCCCTTTTACATTCCCTCAGGCGAACATGGAAGCTCCCAGAAGGCCTTTGTAAATGGAACCAACTGATCCAAACAGGTCCTGGGAGCTTTCATGTTGGTCTTGGTTACGGAAAATACTAGATGAACCGAGGTATGGTAAACTCAGTTGCCCAAAGCCGACCTTTTAACCTTTTGGTTTTCCAGTTTTGGTCCATTTTTAGTCATGGCCCCCAAAGGTTAACCTTTTATTTCTGGGTCCCTTGGGCAAGTGAGTAAATACTAGCTGAATTGGAGGTGAGAATCAATTTCCGGGTTGGTTACACGTCTCCCTTAGGTTCCCAACGGCTGGACCACGGGCATCGGGAGATCGACCACTCAGATCGGATCCGATCGGCGTTTCGCCACCATGGTTAAAGAAAAGAACGACTGGGAGCACTGGGTTAAACCATTTGGCCAAACACCTGGAGGACACAATACCTACGCTTGGCTTCAGTCACTGCTGTCCCAGTTCCTTAGGGGTTTGGTGGGAGGTTCCATTTCAACCCATGTTGAACATTTTGGCGGATCAGAAACGTGGACAGCCCAGCATGTTGGGAATCAGACCACTTTTGGAAGGGATCCCCTATTAATAAACTGACAGCAACTGCCCAGATCGCCAAGTTGCTGTGTGTTCCAGTCACTGCTGGTTTTTGGGGTAAAGCACGTGGACAGAAACAACAGCCACTGGCGATCCAGGTGGTTGGGTCGACGTTACCGGGGACGTGACTGAGCTGTCACCTGGGACTCGTTCGATAAACGTCGGAGGCACCGCTGCCGAGAACCGCCGCGAGTACTGGCCGTGAGATTTAGCGCTCGAGGCGCAAAAAGAGCCGCGGGACTTCTGAGAGGATCCAAAGACTAAGACTTTTGCCTCAAGTTTGGGTGTCAAAATAGGAACTTGGACCATGGCGATGTCCCTGTTTGTTTGTTTCCTTTAAAACCCAGCCCCACAATGGGGGGGGATCTTAAAGTGAAACCAAAGGGAGCAACGCCCTGTCGCCTGTTGGCTTGTATGAACCTTGTGGCTTCCTGGCTTTCTTTATCTCAAAACTAACCATTGTTTTCCATCCATTCATGGCCGGTCGCCTTTTTTTTGGTGGAATCAAATTGCCCCCCTGACCTTCAATCTTGTGGGCGATTACCAGGTTTTCCATTAACTCAGTTGCCCAAAGCCGACCTTTTGACCTTTTAGTTTTCCAATTTTGGTCCATTTTTGGTAGAGGTGCCAAAAGGTTAACCTTTTATTTCCAACTCCTTTGGGCAAGTGAGTTAATCTGCAACAGGTTGAGAAGAAAAAACAAAAGGAAGCACCACGGCAAGCGACAGGCAGGCGAGCACGGTTTGAAGTGCACCAGAGGCAGTTTTCACTTGGCCCGTTTCTTGTTCATGTGGAGACTGCAATGCACACCTTCTTTGTCTTGCTGGTTCCCAGCAGGAAATGAGGGAATGACCCTATGGTTTCCTTTAAGGGAATCCCCGGGTTCATTATCAGCACTCTGGGTCATTCTCTGCTTGAAAGTCAAGCACAAAGTTCTGCACATGGTTGAACTAACTTAGTCGCCTAGGCGTAGCCTAGTCTCTTGCTTCAAACACTCATGTCATCGCTTGCCCCAAACCCGACCTGCTTGCCGTAAGCAGTTTATTCCCATGTTCCCAAAGCGGCGTGAACCCCACGGTTGAACCCGAATCCAGTGTCACTCGTAGTTATGAAAGGTATCACTTGTTGACACAGCCTTGCTCCGCAAGGTGAATGCCGGCGCCTGCAATTATTTTTGCGTATCCACCGCATTTCTGCCAAACAGTTTCCTCCATACTCTACCCTCTACTCCGTTGCTGCAGTGGCTGCAGCCCAGGATCGAGTACATGAAAAAATGAGTTTGTTGCTCTTCTTGTTTCCCCCTGTGAAGTTAATGAATTTGTTGCCCCCTTCTTTTAATTGTGTTTCCCCCTGCCAGGACCAATGTTAAACTTATAATTTGTAAACCCTCCGGCCCTCTCCCCCTTCGCCCAAGGTTCTATGCCGACGAGTGCCGAGACCTCAGAACTCTCCCGAGTGCCTAGGCAACTTGCAGGGATTTGGTTGCCACTCCCACGGATTTCTCAGGAGGTTCACTCCCTCGGCTCCGTGAGCTTTTTGTAAGGCAAATTTTTGGGGTTTTCGCAACGATCGACGAGAGGTGAGCAGAGAATGGGTATGTCATACCCCCAGATATGACAGCCTATGACCCATTGCGCTTTGCATCGGGGCCCTATACAGCGGCACCAACAAATGACACACTGTTGGGTTCTTCAATGACTTCGGCAATCCTTTGTTGCCACAAGTTATGTCAAAGACACCTCTTCAGCTGACAAGCGCTTACAACTTGTGTGTGCAAATGGTTTCACAATTGCAGTGGCTTCCTCACACTTCCGGCCGGATCGTCAGCCAACGAGATCAGTGCTTCTTTTGGAGTGTGTTTGTTTTGTTTCCACTCATTTTTGGTGGGAGGGTGTAAAGAACACACTTTTGCCCGCATATGGTGGCTGCGCCTACCATATTCAAAGCGCTGTAAAGGAACAAGGACCCCGTCTAATTTTCTATGATTTCCCATTTTGGCATGGTTTTGTGCTTCAATATGGTTGCGCCGTACCAAGGGGGAAATATATGCCACCAATGCTTGGACCACACTACATTTGATTGTTCACAGGTGTTTTCTTAGTATTGTGTTTAACACATATATAATTATATATATGTCATCAATGTATATACGGACCAAGCAGATGAACGTCAATTAGTATATAAGTATCACATGAATGTGCTAATAAGTATATCTAATTGTTTAGATTAACTAACACAAACATACACAAGGAATGGATAAACTCACTTACATGAACAAGTAAGTACCTGGACCCTCAAAATTCCCTGAAAAAAATGGTTTTCAACCCCAAAATTATGGGGTGATATCCCATTTTTATGGGTAGTTTGAGGGTCCAGGTAAATGCATAGACCCATACATTAATAAGTCGGTTTTTGGGGCGCGAGCGCCGAGGTACTCGGGTGGAGCTGGGCAATCCCATCTCCCCCGGCTATGCGCCAGGTCTATCCCCCTTGGGGGTGCGCTGGTCGGGCCGTCAATGTGCGTTTCAGATGTTTGTTGCTTTTCCCTTTGGTTAGAGAATGTTAGAGATGAATTTGACATGATTACTTCCATCTGCGTTTAAATGAAGCAAAGTGCTTTGTGATTTTTTGTTGAATTTAAGCTGGACATAGTTTCTCATTTCTGCCCGGGGGCTTAAGCAAATGGAAGGGGCCCAATTGCAAGCAAGCCAAAGCTATTAGGCTTTATGGGGGTACTATTTGTGCAGATGGGTCCCTTGGGCAAAAGTTGCTAACCTTGAGTTTAAACAGGAAAACAAAGCTGCTCGGCTTGTAAACTACGGAACTTGTGACCGGTTGGCCTTTGCTTCAGTCTCTTGATTTCAACTTCCGGCGTGAACATGACTCTTGCAACCTGCATGATATACTTACCTCTTAAAAACACAACTTTTCAACTTTTTGGGGTAACATGGGCTATAATTGTCGGTAAAATATTAACTTATCCAGGGCTTGGAGTTTTAAGGGGTAAGTATATGTGTCCCTTGAGGAAAAAACGGATCTTCCAGGATTTTTCGCTGTCATGTTCCATGTTAATTGGTGGGCGGGTACCACCTCAAAAGAGGTTGGTGGACATGAATCCCCGAACTTTGGTTTCCACCAGAGGGCCCCAAGCTAAAACTCATGCCCGCATGTGTAACTTGTATCTGTTTGGTGAGAAGTGTCCTTGAATTGACCCATGAGAACTAGGGACGGCGCGCGGCCCCGACGCCGCTCAAGCCTTGAACCTTGCGCCGAAGAACGCGGCGTCGAATTGCCCTGCTTTTTCTTCGGCTCGCGTCCTTTTGCGAGGCAGGCTTCATCATGGGAACAGAGGGGGGGGGCGGGCATGTTTCTCTTGCTCCGCAAGGTTGTCCAATGCTGGGTCAACATAAGACTTGTGGACACGGGACGTATGAAGTAGACGCTCCACCGTCAATTCCGCTGTGATTGGGCCTGAGGACCATACACGCCGTTTCAGCGTTCTCGTTTGGTGACCAACCAGCCAGTAGAACTAGTCGATCGCATGGCTGATCATGTAAGAGGCTGAAAGTATAGACACATGACTACTTCCACTTGCTGAAATGAATCTGTCTTATTTTTCCCCCGTTGGTTTTGAAGGACGTCGATGTCACTACTGGAAATCTGCGTCGCTGGGGACTTAGGCATGACAAATTGTGGTGTTGAAGTCCTCACCATCCCAGGCTCGGCTGTCGGCAAATGGACTGTTGGTTTCGGTGCAGCCCCCATTTCTTGACTGCTATTGGGTTGGATCTTTAGACTTCAACTTTTTGGGAAATCAAGGGGTTTTCCACTAAACCCACAAAAAGTTAAACTTTTTTGCAGAGGGGCAGCAACCAAGATTTGTGGACTGACTCTTGGCAACAACAAAAATACGACGTCGACCAGCCATGTTTCGGGTCGTTTCAGAAGACCCATTGCATTGAGCGAAGAACGTTACCTTCAGCTCCGTTGGCGTCCTGTTGTGCGGTGGTTCCCTTGCTTCGGCAGGGGTTTTCTAACCTACCAGAATTTGGATCTTTGTTCCAATCCTAGGTCCCCCAGTAGTGCCCTTTTACCCGTTTGTTTGGGAGGGTTCCCCTACTAAAATAGACTACAGGAAAAAACAGGTACCCTTATTCTAACCTCTCCACTGGAGGACCTAGAATCGGGGGGATCGTTCAAGTATGTTTTGGTGGCAAAGCAACGTGTTACTTGCTGCGCTCAAACCGCATCAACCACTCAAGAAGCCGCTTTCCTATTTTGGGGAATCAGCAAAGGGCGTCGGACCCAGCAAATAGTCTAATAACACTGCCTGGACCCGAAAGAACTACCCTTCAAGCAGGGTGATTGCTTGAAATCATGGGGCAAATTACTTTGTTCTGGATAGTTTGAGGTCCAGGTGTAAGTTTGTTGCTTCTCCTCATTTTAGTGGTGCAAACACAACGGTGTGAAATCCGATCGATGGAATGTGAGGAGTCAAACTATGTCCTTCTCCCCTCCCGTGTTAGCAACTCGGGGTGTGGCTCGTTGGGGACCGGAGTTTGGGTTCTGCAAAAATCCCCGAGTCGCCCGCCCTGAACGGACCCGGAGGCAATGGCGGACCTGGAAGCCATCCACTTGAGGACACGGTGTTGTCCTTTTCTCTTGAGAGATGCAGGGAATAAGAAATGGAACCACCCTCATAGACCATCCCTTCTGGTAAGTAGTTGGAAATGAGGGAATGACCCTTACTCTATTGCCCAATAGTGCCTTTTGTTTCTTCTGTTTTTTGGGTATAAGGGTTCCAACCAACCAACAAAGGTGCCACCTTTTTTCCCATGGCCACTTGGCATTTGAGCTTTAAAACAACTTTCCAACTGGTGGTTTCCAAAAAGAAAAGAAAGCCTGGGTTTCCCAGATTCCCTCCATATCGCTCGATTCAGCAAGTTCTGCAGCCTTCTTCGATTCGGTTCTTCAGCTCAAAGTGAGGGACCTTCAAAGCAACACACCAAGGTGCCCCTTCCCATTTGTTTTTTGGAGGGGCAGAATCATCTTTCCCAAACAGTACGACACGTGTTTGTTCTTTTCCCCTGGGTCTTCATTGGATTCTACTCTTCTGGTACGTCCTGTTGGCAACACGTTGCGTGTTTCCATGGAAGGTTAGGTCTTAGCGGACCAGAGGAACCCGGCATGTTCACTCGATGGGTC